TGAGCCAGTTTGGTAATAAAACCTACTGTCTCAATTTTCCTCCTTATCTGATCTGGTCTAAAAATCACAGGAGACGCGATACATAATTTAAAGCGTTGCAAAAGGTTGTGTTTTGGATTTCGTTCTCCCAGATGGTGCCATGCCGTAGATGGAGAGGTTATGTCGGTGTAAAGTGCACTGGTTCAACACCAGCTCAGTCAAATAGGTGTGAGCAAAGGCCGAGGCCTGCTGTAGTATGTGATGCAGATGTTCTCTCTGTAGACTCTGTTCTAGGTCAATCTGTGTTCAGGTCGAGGCGGGCTATTTTAGGGCAGGTGATTCTGTGTGTGGGTTGGGCTTTTTGCAGCTGCCAATCACATCTGTTCTACTTTGTGCTTTCGCAACTGTCTCTTTTTGTTCCGCCCGTTGTAGCTCACTTTAACTTTTGCTCCATAGATGCCATGTTTTTACTTTTCTTTGCTCTGAGGCAAACGTTCCGTCCAACTCACCAGCTTTGATGCGGATGTTGGGGCTGCGGATCTTGCCGGCCTGGTTTTCGGCAGTGCAGAAGTAGTCGTTGTCATGGATGTAGCTGTTGTAGGCGGAGGGCGAGAAGGGGTACAGCTGCAGGGTGCCATTGGCGTGCACGTGTCGGATGTGGGGCACGTCGTAGATGTCGTCGCCGGTGGCCAGGTACCAGCGCAGTATGGCACTGGGGGTGCCCCCTGCTGGACAGGGCAGGGACACCCCCACCGAGCTGGAGTAGGTTACCCTCTGCAGGGAGGCATTCACAAAGTACAGCCTGGTGGAGCCCACATCCTCACTGTGTACTGCAGAGACAAACAGACAGCACATCGTCACTTAACGGGCCGACGGGGAAGTGAAAGGCCAACGATGATGAGCGCCTGTTATGTGCCGCACACACAGTGTAAACACCTGAAAGCATGAATAGAAGCTAATCGGATTTCACCGCCATTGATTTACAGCAGTAGGCGTCACAGTGAGGGGTAAAAGTTGAACAGAGTGGGAACGTCCTTCAAATGTGTGGTGAAATAATCATAACAAATGTATGTCAAATGTCCAGCTGCAAACATCGGTCATGTGACGCAGAAAGCCAGGGATTTGGGCTAAAGCCTGTGATGGTTTAGGTGGATGGGAGGAGGGGGAGGAGCCTGTTACCTCCATACACTTTATGCACACAAAGACAAACAGAGAGAGAGTGGGAGGGAGAGAGAGAGGAACATGCAGATAGGTTATGTGATTGGAATTTCTATGCCAGACGCAGAGATTTAAGTCTATTTAATCTCCTTACATATTTAACACACACACACACACACACGCACGCACGCACACACTCACAAACACACATAGGAATGGTATTCATTGGCACTCAGATTAAACACATACACCTCCAGCAGAGAAAGGAGAATGAGGAGAGGAAAGAAAAAGAAAGGGGGGGTTGTCTCATAATTTGGGGTCATTATAGGAAAGATTAGAAGAGAATTTATTTGAGGGGGGTGCTGCTGATGGACAGATGTAGATGTTAACCACCGCTGACTCTAAATTATGTCATCTAATATTCGCCATCCACCACATGTTCATCCTCTTACAGCCGAATGCAGCCCAGAAAGACTTTAAAACATCATCGAAGACAGTAAAAGATCATAAAAGAGCGAAGATTTTGATCCAAATAGGATCAAATTAGCACTCAGCGTAGTGTGGCGGCTGTTCAAGCAGAACTGAGAGTTTTCTTTACACAAAATGGAGATTTTTCTCCATTTTCTCCCATATCGCCCTGTGAGTAAATACTGCTTGTAACGACAATATTCATTCATTAAAATTAATCAAAATAAATAAAATGTTCAGTAAGACAATCAGCAAGTTTGGATTTATTGACACTATAGTTACTGTTTGATTAAATTAAATGCTTGTAAATGTAATAAATGCATTTATTTAGATATAATCACCGACTTTATGTGACAGCATAAAACAAGGCGTCAGGTGTTTTGATAATTGATACTCCTTGTAATAATGCTGAATACTTTCACATCTCTTTATGTATTTAATACACTCATTCAGTGCATATCAACATAGTGTGTTTTGCAGTCCATCGTTTTATCATTTCATCGTTTCATCGACTGGTTGTGGTGCAGTTACATAACAGCTCATGACTAAAAAAATGTTAGGTTGAAGGTCTGGGGCTCAAATGAATCGAATAATGTACATTTCTTTTCGAGAATATAACTGAAAAATCCAAAATGTGAAGAAATTAAACAAAACGACTGCATTACACATAACAAATATAAAGTGTAAGTAGTATATATTTATGACATGAACATTAGGGCTGCAACTATTACCTATTTTAATATTTTTGTTTAATTGGTTAATCATTTTAGTGTGATAAAATCCATCACAGTTTCAAAATGAAGGGATATTTGATTTATCATCCCATAAGGAGAAAGAAAGCAACAACTTGTTAGAACTGAGAGGCTCCAGATAGGATACGACTGGCATGTCTGCTTGAAAAATTACACAAAAAAATGAATCCATTATGGAAGAGTTGCTTGTCATGTTTCTGTTGAGTGACTAATTGATCAATGGTTTCAGCCTTAAGAACACAAGGGACTCCAATCAACACAGTGTTGAGGCCTCTGTGGTCGAGATCATCTGTTGTCGGACAGATTTTTCTGACTGACTTGTCAAGTTAAAACACGCTGAATGTTTTGAAAGGTAGGCAAGCAAGGAAAGGATACATGTGTACATTTTCTTACATTATGACACTTTGTCATAACACTTGCTAATCGTTATCTTCAGTGCCAAAAAGTTTAAATACTTAGATCGCTTATTTGTCACTGTTAACTACCTCTTGTGCTGTACTAAGCAAGTAACAGCATTAACATGGTATTATTTAGGACTAATCATGTACTCGTGGGAAAACATCTCTGTTGTTGTTTTCATTGACAATGTTCACAGCACAACCCAAAACAGTTGTGACAATAAAAACCATCTATGTGAGCAGTGAGTTGTTTTTTTTTACATTGTTGCAGAGAATCACTGTCTTCATCATATTTGACACTAAAAGCAAATAGATCATCTGGAGCATTGAAACCAAATCAGGAGTGAAAACAAATACTGCATCTGATCATATGATGCAATTCTTTAGTGGGTTCATCCAAACATTCAGACTTTGTCATCATAAATGAAGCATGGCCTCAGGCTATAGGTGATGTTGACAGATAAACATCAACACGTAAAGCCTGGCAGAACAAATCATCTCCATCAACAGCGCTGGCACTGAGCTCAGTGCACCAGATCGGAGAAAGACGCGGCGATCTTCTCCATCCAGGGGGGGGTCAGTCAATAATTCCAGCTTTCTTTTAAAGAAGTGCTGCTGTCTCTGGTGTGGAGATTGATAAAGCTGGGCAGCATGTTACAGATGGTATATGAAAATGTGTCTGGCAGTCCGGTGGTGGGCTGCAAAAATCAGGTCAGACTCCCTCCCCTCTGCAGATTACTGATAATGGCCCCTGAGCATAAAGCCCATATTAAAGATTGCAATATCTATAATCTCCCAATGGGGGGACAGCACTAAAGTAGAGGAGTGAGGGGGTCACCCTGAGAGCTTGGGGGGGGGCTGGGCAGCAGGAGAACCTCTCATACAGTAGATTATATGGCCTGGGGGCCTGGGCACTGGGGGGGCAGGGGAGCACTGGGACTGATGGAGCAGGAAGTGGAATAGAAAGGGGATCAGAGCAAACTCCCAGCACTCAGAATCTGTCACAACCAGGCGAACATGCACACATGCACTCAGATGACACACACACACACATAAATACATTCACATACACACTCAGAAAGCTGCTCTTAGCGCTCAGTCATACTGGGAGGAGACAAAGCGGGTTGCCATGGTGGCGCTGGCACTTGAAAGCTGTAACTGAATAAAAAAACAATGCAACAATTTAACCTAACAACAGTGACCCACTGAACAATCTAAATTTAGCACCTGAAGTCACCGCTCCCCAAATTTTGTCACGTCGTCTCAAATATTAGCAAAAAAGCTGCTGAGGTGAGCAAATGTGTTTAAATGGAATATATTCTAAAAGTGAGCTCACTAAGTAAGCAGAGTGTACAGTTTAATAAGGATTGTGTGTCAGCGTCTAACACACCGAAATCTGCTGTTTGGTGTGTTTAGGTGTGTCGGGCACAGCATCATTATCACTTCACACCAGGTGCACTCCAACGCGCAACTGGCACAGCACTGGATTGTGCTGGACTGACAGAGTTTCCACTCCATTTAAAACCAGCAGATGAAACATTACCACCTGTGCTAACGGCTATACAGTCGATGGTTTGTGTGGCAGGAAAACAAAACGTCAACAATGTACCGGCAGTGAGCTGCACAATAAAGACTGCAGGTAAACATGCCTGCATCGTTCTAATGGCTTGTAGAGACTATGTCCAAATAAAACTGGTCAAAGATGAAACTCCAGCTTGGACAGTTGCTCACTGTCAACACTTCACTGCGTCTAATGTGAAATCTTTCTAACATTAGAGCACCTGAGTGCAAAGTGCCATCAAAATGAAGCATTACCACGTTTAATGCTCAGCTGATTGAATGTTCTGCTACACACAGCAATGGACACACTGAGCTGCTATATATCTGTGATCAAAACACTGCATCCTGTTGCATTTCACTTTATGGAATCTTGATCTCTTTGTTTTCTGAACACAATGACACTTACATGAGATAAATGTTTTCAGTTCTATGTAGTTTTAGTGTATCTGCCCTTGGGACTGACCGATTATTGGCAAATTATCAGATCCAGTATTCTGCACTTTTCTGATTATTGGCATTTTCTACTTTTCTATACAGACTCTCACTAAAGTAATACATTTCAAAATGTGTTATTCTGCCTCTGATGCAGCTGCCCCTCTGTTTCTGTCGTCACTCTGTCTTGAGTTAATGCCTCGCTCACATAAATGCATGTACAACACAAACAAAAACAGGCATTTCAATGAAGCTTTGTGTTGGAGTTTGTGTTATTCTACATTGTGACACCTAAGATTTTAATTGCAATTTATGTTTGTTATAAATACCTGCTATCAGTCTCCTTAATCACTAATAATCGGTATTGGCTCTGAGAAAACATCAGTCAGCCCTTAATCAATTGAATTATAAATTCATAAAAATAAATAAGTAAGAAATTAAAACATTCACTAAAGGTTTGTTTATAGTGGACAGGGCTGGGTAACGGGGCCTTTAACCATCACTACACCTCTGTTTTGGGCGTATTAACCTGCCAGTCAACTTTCTACAAACCTTTGCTTCACTGGGATCTTTGAGATAAAGGGCAGAGTATGTTTTGTTTTTGTTTTTTTAAATTACAGTCGGTGAAATGCCACAAAAAAAGAGAGTTGCGTCGTTAACATCCTGTCAAACCAGTAGACTAACAGGCCAGCAGAGCGAGCTTACATCAGGTAAAGGTTAATATTTTTACACCTGTCTGACTCCAGCACAAAGCAGACTGTTTGACTGGAAATAAAATAACACAGTTAACAAAACTACTTAATGTCCGCTCATTGTTGACAATAATGTTAAATGTGTACACCACAAGGTGAATGCCTCCTTATTATCCATGCCTTAACTTTCCATCAGCTCACATGCCTACATTAGTCATGGGCAGTGAATCGCAAATATTTTTATTATTTATTAAGCTCATGAAAGGCTGAATGATTTGAAGAAAATATCAAACTGCATTTTTTTCTGACAGATATTGTAGTTTGCTTTGTGATGTAATTTTTTTATCAGTTCAATATTCACTGTGTAACAGCTTTAAAACCTGTGATGGAGCATCACCACATGAGACAACATCAGAGGTTTGACTGTCAAACGTGAAGGACGACCTGAATTTGTAAAAACCATTGACATGACACTTTAAACCACAACCCCAGGTCTGATGCACTGCATAGCATACAAGTTAAATTGCAGCATTTGCAATTTGCTGATTGCAATGTTTAAAATCGCGATTTCAATTTGAAATCAATACATTTTTCAGCTTTTTTTTCAACAAATGGATTGTATATTTTCCAATAGTCCAAGATCAGGTCTTTGCATACTAGACCAACTGTTCAAAACTCAATAAACATTCCATTAAGGACAATCTAAAACTGCAAATCCTCCTGTTAGATTAATCAGACACAGAAAATTCTGCTATTTCAGAAAAATTACAGAATTTTTTTCCCGAAAATACCCTAAAAGTAAATGATTTCTTTTCTTTTTGCCTATCTTTGATAGATGCCGTATAAACAAACAGTAAATGAGATGAAAGAGAGCAGGTGATGGACACAGTAAAGGTACAGGATGGCCAGAAATCAAACCAGAGACTCGCAGCTCATGTGATTTACACCCACGAGGTCTGCACCCTAAACATTCAGAGTCGTTTTTTGTTGAGTGACTAACTGATCAATTAAGCAATGCATTTCTCTTAATAAACACAGAAAATTAAATTCAAACTTTAAGCGGGTGTTTACACCACTGTATCCCACACGCCCTGTTTATTTCAGTGACACCACCTTCCTCGGTGACGTCCACCAGGATCAAACCCCAGCAGCATGTGGACCGTCAGCAGCCTGATAACAGTACTGACCAAAGCTGTGGGCTTTTCAGTGTTGTTGTTGCTGCTGCAGTTCACCTGCACCCAGGAGGCTTCATCAACCTCGTTCAGACACAGCACCACAGAGAAAAGCAGCCCTCGCAGGAAGGTGCTGGAGGACTGATGGCACCGCTGGAGCTACAGCTTAGGCTGTCAGAGTCGCAGCCACTATTTTATACATCCTGCCAGAGAGCCACGCATGAATATGTATGTCAGGGAGGCAGAAGTCATAACCTATGCAAGGTTTCATCATGCATAATGCAGCTGATCTACGCCTCTCCAGGATGTGAGTGCGCGCAGGAGTGTGTACCAACACACACACACAGCCACACACACACACACACACACACACTTGACGTTCACAACTGTATTGTGATGAGGAGGTAAACAAACTCCAGAACCCCCAATGTTTCACATTCACTCATTCTCACATCCAGATGTCCCCGTGCCCAACCTCAGACATATTACATCCACATGCCGCCCTCCGTCTCTCCCACCCAACTCTTATCCTTTCATTTCTGTCTAATGGTAAAACAATTTCCGCAGCATTGCATCGTTATTTTAGTGATAGCAAAGGTCAAAAGCAGGATTCAGAGACGAGACGAGCACATCAGGCGAGCAATCTGTCAGAAACCCTCTCCTTCGCTTCTCGCTATTTTGGAAACAACTTCATTTCCAGACCGACTGCTGCTCCTGCGCTCTCTCTCCATCACTCATCCGTCAGGTGTTTTTGGGACAGAAAAGTTGTGAGTTTTGCTTTTCATAAGAGGGCACGGGGATTGCAACTGTGTGCGGAAACATAAAACGGCAGAGGAAGCGCTGGGAGCAGACGCACAGTAAGGAAGGGGTGTGAATTGAATATTGGTGAGATATAGGGGAAGGAGGAGGAAGGGGGGGGGGGGATAAAGATAGGCTAGGTGTAAGCTTATGAATAATCCTCAGGGGTCTGGCATAAGTAGGTGGTCGGTGGGTGGAGAAGTATGGGTGGTGGGTGGGGGCGAGGTTGTTGAGGTTACATCTAATCAACGGAGGGGTATCGCTGTTCCCCACCCACTGTCTTTCTGTACACCCTGTCCCCAACAATCTGCTCCCCAACCCCACCCACCCACCCACCACCACCCCCAACCCCCCCTGGACTGTGCTGTGTCAGTAAAAAAAAAAAAAAAAAAAAAAGTGTGCTACTTCAGCAGTCCCCTGGGACCTGCTCCCCCTCACATCAAAGCAGCCAGTTTCTCTCTTAATGTGAATATCAAATCTGTGGATCACAAGTCCCAGCACAGTCTGCATAAACTGCCCCTCCCCCAACCTTTAATTCTGCCTAGTGATGAGGGAGAGAGAGGGAGGGGAGTTACTGCGAGAGGAAGCGATGGAGGGAGGGAGAGATGGAGATAGAGAGATAGAGAGAGAGAGAGAGAGAGAGGGAGATCCAACAAAAACAACTACTTGCTTCAGAGATTTGACATTTGCTGAAACACTCCCTCCTTCTGAAAATGTGCAGCTCCGGCATCCAATAAAAATTTGGAGGAGGTCTGGCTCAATTTAGCATCAGTGTGTTGTTACACAGACTTCTTGCTGGTTAAAAAAAAAAAAAATGTTAATTTCGTACAGCTGATGGTTTTCGTTGGCATCTTCCTTTTTTTTTTTTTTATTGACTAGTTCTTATTCATAAGCTCATTTGGATTTATAATAGATTTAAGGGCGAATGGGAGAGCAGGGATGCCAGTGACAGAGCTGTGACGTCCTATTGGTGAGCTGAAAGTGCAATGAGCCCCTTTCTGCCGCTGACAGTCTCATCACCGGCACACTTTACCCACCATTTGGCCACAAATTTGACTGCAGCTATTTTTTTCTTCGTTAATTTGTGACGGATAACGGACATTTCTGCCATCAAACTGTATTTAACAGTGCAAGGACCTGTCCAATCAATCATCACCCTGACATTTTTTATTTAAAAAAAAAAAGTCTGTTCATATTATTTTACATTTTTGTTGGAAAACAGTTCCCTAATTTTCAATTAAAAGTACCAGAATCGTGTATCCAAGCTGCTGCAGAGACCAAAGTCCGGCCAAAATCACACCAAAAGCTCAGCACTTCTCCTTCAACCCCTCTTTAAAATGGGTGTTTTTGCATTGAAAACGTAAAATTAAATAATGCCAGGTTTGAGCCGGTATAAAATGGAAGGCCTGTGCCCTGCCTGAGTAATGATTGGCACCCCTGTGGACCACACAGCTCTGTCATTGAGTGGTGCATATAGCTCAGATTGCAGCTTTAATTGTGCAGCCTTGCAAAGGAAGCGCAGGGAATTGGACTGGGGAGGAAAAAGGAGGGGAGGAGGGGGAGATTTTGCATATTTCTATTTGTAGGGGGGGGTGAGCAGTGGAGAGAACAGGGAGAAGGGATCACCTTGGTTTATAGCTACACCTCTAATTAAAAGACAAGTTTTGCCATTTGAATTCCATACAAATCATTCTTTAAATTTAGTGTTACTAATTAGATTTTAAATTTCAAGTTGATAAATGGCCTACAGCAGGCCTGCGTATGTTAAATTTGATTTCATTCAGTGTTGATTATGACAGCAAATACAGTCTGGGAATTTGATTTGGGTTAAAATGGCAGCTAGAAGAAAACACATAATTTTATTTTCAAATGAGCAATTAAAAATCACAAGAAAATCCTACTTTTTAAAAAATTGGATCTAATGAAAAACTATTTTTTTTAAATACATGCATTGTGCTGTAATTGACAGTCTTAGTAATTAAAAAAACAAAACATACTTGTAGAAATGTAGTTTTATGTATTCTAGACCTTTAGATATTTTAGATATTTAGATTAAAGAATCTTGTAAAATAATAACAATAATGTTCATATTAATAACAATAAGTGAAGTTCTAGTTTGGAATAACATCCAAAAACATTTAACAACACATCCAACATTGCGCGGCCCCGTCACTTGCCCTCCTCCGCGCGCCCGTCAACACAAACACAGAAACACGAGAACCCCTGACGACGCACGCGCAGGCACGCGCCCGACCACGTCCAAGCGGGGTCCAGGTGCGCTATTAGTGCGGAACATGACCGGGCAAGTCTGTAATGTGCGCACATGCCCCTGGAGTTCCTCATTTGGTGAAATAAATTTGCGCATATTAATAAGAAGCCACCAAAAAAAAAAAAGAAAAAAAAAACCTGGCGAGGCTCAGAAATCTTTCAAGTTGAATTAACGCAATAAATCAGCAAACCAACAAATTCAGCGAATTTAAAACACACGTAGCTCACATTTAACTGACTGCTAATTGATAGAAATAATATCAAATGTGAGAAAATACCAGAAGTTCAAGTAACACATGAATCTAATGGCCTTTTCTGGATCTTCTGCACCGAAACCCGCCATATTCCAAATCACCACGTCCCAGACTTTTTTTTTTTTCGTAATAAATAAATGTGCACCTTTTTGAGGCCTGTGCTAATCAGGACAAAACAATATGTACACATGTCTGAACAGAACCAGCAGAGCTTACACGTACAAAGGCCCAGAAAATACTCTCATGCAGAGATAGTGTTGAATTTCTGTTATTTTCGACGCAGATTTGTTCAGGATTATTATAATGCACTGTAATAGCAGAAGATCAACTTTGCAATAGGGTCAGGGATTTGCTGCATATACTGAACAAGAAAAGGGAACAAAAATGAATCCATTTAAACAAATGAACCGCCTTTTTTCCCCTTGCATTTACAGGCAAAATTAAACAAAAGGAAAATTTCAAAAGAGCAAATGAATTAAATAAGGAGGACAAATCTGAATACACTAATTATGGCCTTTATGTGGGTGTAGACCTATTAAACTAATAAGGCCGATGTGGAGGGGAGAAAGGGGGCCTTTTATTTGTCATCCAAATTAAAATGGCAACAATTTGTCAGAAGGGAAAAAAAGAATTTAAAAGCCTTAAAATCTCATCTAAAAAAAAATAAGAGCAGCTCTGTGGAAGCGAGCGCCCTGTGCCAAATCCAGTCCATCAAAACAGCTGCAATTAGCACAAGGCTACACAATGAAAGCATCAAGATGTGAAAAATCTCAAACATCCACCTGAAAACTTTACAAGAGTGCAGCATTCCGAGTGGATTTGCTCCAAAATTGCCAATCAATTTATGTAATTGCAGGCCGATGCATGTTTTCATTTCTGTCTCACCCTCCCTCTGTATTTGCACCTCATTCTCCCTATTCAGCCATTTTACATATTCATAACTGGAGTTGGTAATGCGAAAACAATCCGTGCTATCAGCTCCATCTGAGGGCTCAGGCTCCGCTGCCTAAAACCACAAAACACTCGTGCAAAATCTTCCAAAAAAACACTTTTACGCATTCACTTTCTTAATATTTCCACTTGCTCAGCCGCAGCAGGTTTGTGCATTTTGATTTTAACAATCATTTTTTCAACCAATTTCCCATCACAACACATTCGATGACACACCACAAGCGCAAACCACATCATGCAAAGCGTCCAATTAATCCCACTGTCACTTTTCATTCAAGTTAAAAAATCAGTAGGTGTGCAGGGTGTGAAATATTCCAGGCATTTCTTGTTTTGGTTTTTTTTTTCCTCTTTCCCTCTTACCTTCTTGGAGAGAGTACAGCAGGAGTAAAGTTACAAGCCACATGCCATAAATAGCAGGTATATTTTTCAGGAATATTTGGCAATCCTGGCAAGTGTGAGGCGCGTTTTTTTGGCCAGGCGGGTCTCCGTGCTGGACTGGCGACTGTGCTCCCCGGAGGTCTCTCCAGCCCTGCTGCCCCGCTAAGCATGGAGGGGAAATGAGAGGCGCCTCGGCCCCGCCCATGTCCCCTCCTCTCCTCCCAACACTACCGTGCATACAAATCCATCCCACCCTACACTAATCAAACACCGCGGAGCGATAGATCAACAGCAAAGCCGAGGCTTGATTTGAGCAGAAAAGCGCTTTTTTTTTCTTTTCTTTTGGTCCAGTTGGGTCCAAAATTGGCGCCTTGTGCGAGCGGTGGAGCTGCGCAGACAGATCTGTTGGCACCTTGGAGAGCGCACCCACCTGTGCGCCCCTGATGACCGCGTTTCTTTGCGCAATGTGGATCTACAAAAGCCGCTCAGACTGTAAAGAGAAAAAAAATGTGTTCATTTCTTTTTCCTCTGGGTTTTGGGCTTTAATCACAAGGCCGTGGAGCTGCAGGACAGAGTAGGCTACAACTGTTTCTCTTTGTCTTTCGGAGCCATGAAACGTGCGTACAGATTTGCGCACAGAAATGCACTGCAGATAGAGAGGAGGAGTAGCGGGGTGTGGGGCATGGCACTTCCACGCAGCAGGTAAAACACAGCAGGTGAATGAAACCAGTATTAAAAGGTTTCAGTGAAGCTATACAACGAATCTGAGCAACTTTGCACATTGCTGGTTTCCCCTTTTCACCTCGATTTCTGCTGCGCCTTGGTGTGAAACGCTCCACTGCATGAGCGTAAACGAATGGAGGAAGACAAGTTGCAGGACACTCCCAGTTCATAGAATATTTAAAGTCACTGAGGAGGCTTGTGGTGAATCTGAAAAGTGATCCGCTGCTGCTACAGACGCTTCAGACCCAACAGCCTTGTGTAAACCCAGAAACCCAGAGAAAGAAAACTGTGATAAAAGGATTAAACTGTGCAGATGTTCAGCCAAAATCTGAGCATTCTATTCCAAAAGTTGGCTGATAAATTTGACCACAGTGAAAATGATTATTAACATTTTATTGCACCATTAATTCATTCATGTGTCCAGACACTGACACATCACACAACAGGCCCTGAGAGTTTGGCAACTGTATGAACTGAGTCTGGTGATTTATAGAAGAAGGTTTTCATTTTCCCACTGAAATAAATAAATAAATAAATAAATAATAATAATAATAATAACAATAATAATAATGATAATAAGCTACAGAGTTGCATATTTTCAGTGCATTTAATTTACTAACTATACTTGTAGCTCTGAAACTATGCAAAATTCATTTTAGATTTATCCAGATTAAAAGTGTAAAAATGCTCAGAACCTGAAGGGAGCAGAAGTTTTCACTTTCTGTACACATTTAAGCTCACAAGTCCGAGGTCTCGGTGACAATCAAAAAAGTAAACGTGCCAGAATTCTATATATGTGTAGGCCTCTGTGACTCTCGGGGGTCAGAGGTCACTCAATAAAACTTCTGAAGTCTTTAAAATGTACTCCAAGTAAAGGTCAGCAGCAGCTGCTCTCCTGCCTCCACTGAATCTGTAGCTGCGATCTGATCTGACCTGAGATTTAAGGTCTCTCCTGCACATAAAGGTCACTGCTGACATCTGCTGGTCAAACTTAAACCAGACATGCAAGTGGGCTCATTTTTGCACATTATTTGAAATTGATTTAGAGTTATATGACCTTGTAGATGTAGCTGCTTGAGAATTTTATTAACCAAGTGGTACTCTGCAGTGGTAATTTTTCAAAGCAATGTTAGTAGATTATAGTGGGAAACTGAGAAGAGCTTTGCCTACAGCAACTCTTCTGTGAAGTGATCACATTAATACGAAGGGCAAAAAAAAAATCTAAATTCTTCTTCAAATCTAATTATAAGATTTACTTTTTTAATGTAATTTATTTAAATGTATAATATATAATGCGTCGTTTCATACAAATAGAAAAAGAGAGACCTCTGGTGAGCAAAGCTGGCACAACAGAATAAAAATCAGCACTGACTGAAACTTACACAGCAGGCACATTTTGCAGATGTGGCCCAGAATAAAGGATACTTTATTCTTGATTATTCCTTTTGTAAAATATCTTTAAGCCTGAATGCACAAATACAACATATATGAACTGGATAACTCATATTTGGCCAAGGGGTGTACAGAAAATTTACAACCAATCATATGATCACAAAATTCTCATTGGACCCCTTTCATATCAGAGAGGTGGACTGTTGTGTTGATCAATGAAAATAAAAAAATACAAAATAATGATGTTATAATGTTGTAGTTTTTGTATATTTGAAGAGTAATTCATACAAGTGCATTATGATGTTATACCCATGTGTGCTTTTATAGAGTTAAATGATTAGTCCATCAATTTGCTTTGGCTCTGCAAAATTCATATTAATCCTCCTATTACCATCAAATTTACTGATATCTTTTGTCCTTGGGGTCAATCTGATCCCAGCAATTTAAACCTCCAGAAAATATCCTAATTAAAATTGTTACCCAAGTTCACAAGTAAATAGCCATTTAAATATAACCGAAAAAAAGATGTATTTAGAGACGTTATTCATTGAATGGAGACAAATTGATCCCAAAGATAATAGGAGGGTTAAATAGAGATTGGTCAAAGTTCACAAAGCGCAAGCCAATGTAAAATGACTTTTTAGCCGTAATATTTGTTAAGCGCCAAAAACAAAAACTACACTTCCCATAATGCACCTCATCCTCATAGTTTTTTTTTTTTTTTTAATATATATATTTAGGTTTTTCATTTAATAATCATTATGTCCAAACCCAGGGTCAGGACAACACAGCACTGAGTCAGAGCTGGAGAATGGTCTGACTGCACCTCATTATCATTCTGCTGTAAGAGAGAAAAAACACTGACTTGACTGAACCAATCACAGTTATACTGCTTGGTGCTACGCCCAGAATGTAGAAACAGTGTCCCTGTTTAACAGCCATGCGGGAATTGGTTTGGTGGAACATTTTTATGCAGGTAACTATTGAAATATACGGAAGCCGAGAGCGGTCGTTTTCCGCTACTGTTCTTTCTTCGCCGTTTTCTCGAGATAACGAGTTACTTTTCTCGTTATCTCGGGATAACAAGAATCGTTTTCTCGAGATAACGAGATAACTGGTGTTTGTGTTTGACCGCTCCTGTCCGGTCCAGGATGGAATCCCAGGTGTGTGGAACCTCCCACACACCTGAAGGGGGCCGGAGGACAGACGAGACCGGGCACGAGCGCTTCAGCTGTTCTCATGACACGTCATGTCGGAGTTCCCGGTCAGCTGTCTATATAAGATACGTCACACCAGGAAGTCCGATAACTTCTGAAGGCTGAAGTGACAGCTGAAACTGTCAACGGGATAATTATCTCGCTATCTCGAGAAAACGAACGCCGTTTAAAAAAATGTGCGGCCATGACCGCTCTCGGCTTCCGTAGAAATAGCTAACTCACTGAAAGATAAGAGCAGACGTACCTTCAGCGGCGGTAACACAGCTTCGCTAGCCCCGGGGTTCAGCTCACAGCTCCTAGGGAGTGGCAGACTAGCGAGCGAAACAGGCGGAGTTTTCAAAACTTCCAGCGAGGTGACTTCACCATCCTGTCAAGCTTTTCAGTTTGTTGTTAACACTTCAACAGTGAAGATGTATTAGCCCCGAGCTAAGTAGTAACCATTAGCGCTAGCCTTGCTAGTATGCAGCAAGCCTTAGCGCTATTCAGTTCAATTTAATTGTATGTATATAGCGTCAATTCGCAACATATGACATCTCATAACACTTCAACATAGTAAGATGAACTGTTGTCGCTACTTCGAAAACTTTTCTCCCAAAATCTCAATACAACCGTAAAGTTGTGTCAGGTTTTCACACCATAGACTACACCGCGCCGGCGGCTTTTCCTCCACTTTACTTCCGTGCGGGCGACATGCCTCGTTCCTATTGGCCGCGCCGACCTACGTCATAGTGTAGGGGTCAAAGTTCAACAAGGTCAACTTTCGAGCGCGCGCTCTCACCGACTTGCAATAGAAATGAATGAGAGCTTCTGGTGCCACGTCCTGTGTGAAAGTCGCTTTACTGCAAGATCCAAATCTTCAAAACTTGTCATTTTCAGCATGTAGCTTGCCTCTCACAGGTTGTTGTTACTGCTGTTTTTTTAATGAAGGGGATTTTGCAAACGGTGATATGCAGATAGCTGAAAGCAACGAAAAAGTTGTGTGAAATGACAGGTTTATACCCACAGTCTACATCCAGTAAGTCAGAATGTGATAACCCTGATGACAGGTGTATTTTTTAATGCATTGGCATATGGCCTGGATCTACTGTGGAATGTTTTTGTTGGCCTCACTTGCAGAGCATGTATGACATCAAGGTTGGGTAAGTCATAGGCAAAACAAGATTGTAAGCTTTTCTTTTGGGATTGTTGTGACTGCAGAGTTAGCATAATATGAGCAACATCTACAGACAATAGTGGACTCTGTAAGGGATAATGTCACAAAACAACCACCAGCTGGTCCTCGCAAAACAAATGCTGTCAAAGTGATGAAGACTTCAAAGTAAAAGACCTGTTTGATACAAAGTGGTCCATCCCAGCATCCATGAAGTTTAATTTAAAAAGGTATGGACCATCTTTAATCTGTTTCTGTGCAAAAGGACCGCAAACACCTTCCATAAAATATATAACAGAGAGTGACCTGTTTTTGCATCTGCTCTCACACTTAGTGTAGCCAGTGTCATTGATGATAGTGGAAGTGTGGTGTTGTAGCAGTAGCTCTGCCAACAGTCTGTCTATATTACGTATTCAATGTACAAAAAACACTAAATTTGACAAAGCTCCTCCAGAGTCACGAAAGAAATTATAATAGTTTTCACAGACTGAGTGGTGTTTTCGCACAACTAGAAAACTGTAAATCGGTGTAATCGGTGGATCGCTCATTTAAAGCAGATATCTTCATCTTGAAGTGCAACTTTACCTTTTCAATGATCTGTTTTTATTATTCTTCCTCCCTCTGCCCAGTAGGAGGCAGCTCCATTGGAGTTTGCTGTTGTACCTTTTCATACAAAGACAGAACAACAAGATAGATTTTATTCCAAACTTTATTAGATTCCATGTTTCTATAATAAAGAGATCAAGAGTTGATATGCATGAATGAGAGCTTGAAAATGGCGACATCATTTGAGAGCGAGCCAGAGCATTGCAGCTGTATATTTGTGTGCAGAGAGCAGCGGTGGAGGATGACTTGGTGAGTCTACAGGCTCTGCAGGGTCTGATCGAGTACAGGGGCTCCAGTCAACTCCGTGCTCCTCTCTGGATGTTCCCCGTTCACCCTGCGTCCCATCGTCACAACTCCCTGATCCAGGACGTCTCCTGCTGTTGTATTGCTTACAGAACCGTCACAGTAACTCCACAGGTGAAAAGTGACAATCTGTCAGAGGATTCGTTTCTGTTGTGATTTGCATAGTGTTGCTTGTCATCATAAGGCCCTCGCTGACACAGTCTCAGCATTCACCTGAAGCTTCGGTGGGATGCTCGTTCAAACTTTTCCAACCAACAGCAACTTACAGGATTTAGTCTTGTGCACTGAGAGAAAACCCACTCTTCTCGAGTTACATTGAATTATTGCAGTTACATGATTTTGTCTAACTTTGTGTTGAAGTTTCCAAAGTCACAACCGTAGCCCAAATAGAATCCGTTCTCACTCAAAGTTGGATTTTCTCTTTAAAGCTAAACAAGAACATGGCAAAGACACATATAACAAAAGTACATTGGCCGTAATATTTCTTTCCCTTTGAGTAACTGCAGCTTCTTTCTCGAAGGTACCAGAAAATCTACTTGTTTGCTCTCTTACTGAAAGTTAGATGAGTAGATTGTTGCAAACTCTCACAGCGGTGCATCAGATATGTAGCTTGAGCCAGGAAATGGTTGGGTTGCTAGAGTTGCTCTCTCCGATGTTAAAGAGATCAGCCTAACAGTGCATCTCACTGATCAAAACCTTATATGCAGTTTGCTTAATTCTTGCAGTAGCGTTGTCACTGTGTGGTTACCAGGCAACTAGATAACCTTCATAACCTCCCACAAAACCACAGGCCGACACTTTCATGTTTTAGCTTTTGTATGTGTTGATGCAACCTTTCGTTTTTGTGCTAACTGCAAATTCAGTGGTTGCTGTATAATAATAACAACTAGAAAATTTCCTTGCAGAAAATTTGAGAGTGGCACGGGAGTGTGCCGGGATTTAAATTAAGATTTTATAATTACCAAACCTACTAAACACTTTCAACAACCTAAACCTCATCTGTGTGGAGAGAGCAGAGAGGGAGGGGGAGTTGAGAGCAGGGTCAGAGCGTTGCCGGGCAACGAAGCACACAGCTGCAGCAGCACACAGCTGCGACAGATACTTAGTTTAACTGGCAAATCAGTAGAAGAAACCAGAAAGAGAAGACCTCAAACAACCACAATTTCCGTCAAAACCGTGTGTCGGAGAGAAAAGCCGAGCACATTGTCACAAAGCCAAGACCTTGGGCATTACAAATATGTATTCTTTATTTTCCTAGAGTGAAAAATGAGCGCACAATCATTTGAGAAGAAATGTGTAAATTTGTGGTCACACAGAGAATCCGCAGCCGTCTTTGAATGGGGGCAGATGGGGAAGGAAGAGAGACTTTTGGAGGAACAAGGCTCCAAAACTCCCCCAAACTTAATTCTGTGTGCTTCCAAAGTGACATTGTGAGTGGGAGGACAAATTTTCCTACGTTTTGATGTAAAAATCATGTCTGTGGCATAAAAACTGTGGCCAGGGCGACAAGTTAAAAAAAGATTTACTGTGTGATTTTTCTCTGAGCTCCCACTCTAGTGATGTCATCACTCACTCTAAAGGACCACATACACACCCATTGTAAAGGCTGAAAAGGGGTGAAAAACTTTCAAAACTTGAGAGGTTGTCACGATGAAACGATTGAAGATATGCAAAAAGTAGTATCACTTTGAAATAGGGGAAGGGCGCGTCAACATTTTAAACTTTAAATGGAGTCTGTAGGTGAAAGCATGGCTGAGCAGTGGAGGTTTGAAAAGTAGTGTCGTTTTTTGTGTTTTTTTCGTCCGTCCCATTCATTTTCAATGGGAGATTTGTGCGACGTTTTGTCGAATTGTGTCGCGAAAAATGCGACTTTCGTAAATCTGTATACAAGCACACGATTCCCGATCGAGCCGCACGTTTTGATATATAATTTGTGTGGGTGCTCCAAAATCTGTGGGAGGAGTAGGCCGGCAAACTTTTGTACGGAAATGAAAACCAGGATAACAATAGTGGCCTCGGGCTTCGCCCGAGGCCCTACTTGTACTCTGTACAAGTAGGGCCTCGAGCTCAGCCCGTGCCACTAATAATCTCAGTTTCTTCAGAAAACAGGAAGAAGAACCTGTAGATTTGGGAATTGATGCAGTGTTTGACTTCACGTTAGGCCTTGTTCTGTTATTTTGTTTATAGAGAGAATTATTTAAAGAAAGAATTAATCAGTCAAATAAAGGCAACACATTCAGCAGTTGCAGTGTTGTGATTTGTACTGTTTGAAACATGTTCATGAAGATCCGGTTTATTGTAAAACTGGCACAGTGGAAAAGAAATTAAAAGAGCTGGCCACAGTAGCATGGATTAAACAAATGAGGTATAAAAATGACAGTTATATCATCCATCTATCCATCCATTATCTACACACCGCTTAATCCTCACTAGGGTCGCGGGGGGCTGGAGTCTATCCCAGCTGACTCAGGGCGAAGGCAGGGGACACCCTGGACAGGTCACCAGTCTATCATTATTCTATTATATTATTAATTCGCTTTAGAGAAGCTAATAGGTGGACTTTGTTACCTTTAGACAAGGCTAGGCTAATCAAAACTAACCAGCTTTCTGACATACAAGTATGAGAGTGTTATTAGGTTTCTCATCTAACTCACAGCAAGAAAGCAAATGATCAGATTTCCCAAACTATTTCCTTACAGCTGATCTGTTTCCATTTAATGCTCAACAGGAACCAAATCACTTTGAGTATCTAATGGTAGAATTTCACGAGAGCTCACTATTTCCTCATATGTGATGTTCGGTCTCTTCTCGTCTCACTCGGATGAACAACGTGACGAACCAACACTGATTAGGATTTTCCATACACAAAATATACATCTATTTCAACGACACACGCTCTTTATAATATATTGCTTCAAGCCAGTGTTTAAAGACTAGAGGCACATCATTATTATTATTATTGACATAACAGTGAGTTTCAGAAATTCACACTTCACTGGACAGTACTCTCATAACGAACACCTGTTGATGGCGACACAGTGTTTAGACACGCACATCTGTCCCACCCTCCAGAGGTATTTCTATTTAACGCCAGACATTCAGTGTCTTGAATGTGCAACAGATGTATACTGTAAATGCTTAAAACTGTATTTTACTGTTTCACTGAGTTTGATGCAGATACATTCATCTCCTGATGTGACGCTCATCCCTGTTTGGCACAATCGGAGGGCTACAACGAGAGCTTCTCTTATTCCCTGCTGGAGCAGCGTGCACACTAAAGCCCCCCTACTCAGCCCGCTGTCTGAGACCTGCTCCCATTGTCATTTAAACTATAACTCATGATACAGAGAATTATTTATTGCAACAAGTCAAACACTGACTAAATGAATGTTTACCAGTGTTTAGGAGAAAAAAGCCATTTCCATGAAGAGGCACATACTAAGCAAAGAGAATATGTAAAGTGTGACCCAGGCGTACAGTATCCAGGGTCACCAAACTAGTGCTTAGCCTTAGCCAGGGTTAGCACAGTGAAATTAGCACGGCATAAAATGGGATTTACAGATAACCTCAGAGCTGATGCTACCAACGTTAGTATATTAGAACACGTATTTTCGAAAAAGTGCGTCTGTTTTCAAGCATTATGTCTAAATTCTGGCCCATGTTGCACATGCTTATAATGCGTCGGTTATTTGTCCTAAAAGCAGCATCATCTGAGGGTCATTCATGTTTTTCTAGGGGGTGAGGGGGCGGGTTGCTTCAGGGGATTGTCTATTGTTTCACTTCAGAAGCTCGTTGTGTTGTTTCTGTTTGCTGAGCTTTATAAACTGTTTTGCAATATGTTGCTGTCCTAACTGACAGAGGAGCGTAGAAGCACGAACAGGCACCTGTGTTTTATGTCAAGCAAAGAGAAGGTTCAGGCTGAAGAACTGGGCTGAATCCTGCAATTATCTGTCAGTACGGCCTTGAAGTTAGCAAATCCCCTTTTGTTTAGCAGAGCTGTTTGAATAAACCAGACAAGTGTTTTTGTTGGATTTTTTTGTAAATTGTCATAGAACTACTTATTGAAGTGCGTGGATTTGGTGTTGGTTAAAGCAGGATTCAGCCCAGCTGGAATTACATGGTATTTTTCCCTGTTTCAAGCACTTAAGCAAAGAAATGTTTTAGTTTTGACTTTAGATGGAAAACAGTCAAATATTGTTTTTCATGTACTCTGGCTGTGGCAGCAGACAATAGCTGATATATCAACATATCAATTACAAAGAGTGCACACAACTGTACCAAATGATATACAACTGTCGGTCCATTTAGGAGATGAGGTGGTACAACAACTTGTATATGCAAATAAAAACATCCCCATAATGTCATAAAGTGTGCACGTCACTTGGTATTACTGTAATGAGTTTTAAAAAAAGAAAGAAGCATCTACCAGAGTAGTTCAGCTTCGTGATCATACACAGGCCGGCGTTTGCTTGCCTGACTTATACTTGCATTATGAATCATGGTTAACATGTTATAGTTTTGCCAGTAAGATGGAGCAGTCCCTGAACTACACAACATTTTATTGTGTATTTAAAGTAAAACCTAATGATCAAAGTACAAACCCAAAAACAGAGAAAGTTTTGTTGATGGACAGGTTAACAATCATTTTTATTTAACTGCTTTACTCAATTACTGTATTAAAGGACAGTTATGAGTTACTTGTACTTTACAAGAGTATTTCCATCATCTGCTACTTTCTACTTCTACTCCTCTATGATTCAGGATGAAACGTTGTGTGGGACTAACACTTGTGGCAAGAGGTGGTGTATAGACTGTCCTAACATTATTGGGTGTGTTATCCAACTCAGTCCAGTGTGTTGTTTTTTTGTATTTGTTTTGTAATACTATTGATTATTTAAAGCTGTTTTATCTGATTTGAAATATAAGAATGTGTATGTGTATGTATATATATATATATATATATATATTCCTTTCTATATTTATGATTGTAACATTTATTTTATTTGATTTATTTTATGCTCTTTTTGGGGGGGTTTTATAGCTTGTGCAGGTAAAGAGTCACAAGTAGGATGTTTGCCATCTACTCGTGGTTTCTGGTTCATATCAGAGCAATTTAGAATCATTAAATAACCTACCATGCATATCTTTGGGCTGTGGGAGGAAAACCATGCAGGCAGAGTGTGGACCTGCTGGCCACTGTGCTGCCTAGTAGTAGCTAAATAACCTTTAGGTTTGACACTGAAGTGATGAAAACATGAATGCATCAATAATTGTACTCCAATAATATGTCATTCTGTAAAGGAGTATTTTTGTACTCAAAGCACATTTTGATGCCAGTACTTTTATTATTTTACTTAAATAGGATTGTAGCAGTGTTTCTACAGTGTACTGTTTGTACTTTTAAGATCTGAGTTCTTCTTCCACGTCTGATATAAGATGATGACTTTGACACTGGCAATAATTAAAGTGTCCAAATATTCAGTAAAACAACAAATATCATCCACACTGCTTACAGAACCTGGAAACAGTGAGGAATTGATCAGTTAAGCTAAGGTACAACTTCTAAGAAAAGGCAGACTATTTTTTTAATAAATGTCTTCTTGCCTCCTGTTGTATTATTACAGTCTCTACACTGCCTTCATGCTGTTTCTGGAGCAGTTTGTATATATAATGGATTGTAAGTCCCACAGAGACAACTTGGGAATAATAAAAATAATTTAATGTGCCCGCTCTGTGTACCACCCTGTCACATTTTCATTAAGAAAAGATGCATGCTAACATTTGGTGTCTCAACTGTTATCACATGCCGTTATTGTTAGGACTCACCCTAAATACGTCAAGCTGAAATGTCTCTGGTAGATGCATTAAACCTTTAGATGTAAATTATGTAACTTTGTAAAAAGGAGGAATCAAATAATGATGTGTGCACTCATGATTTGCCCAACCTTTAGTTGTATATCATCTGCAGCAGCTACTACTTTGTGCACATTTTGCATAACCATATGCACATGTATATGTTCCACTTTCAAGGCCACAGCCAGAGTTATTAAGATCCCAGCTTGAAAGTAATGAATCTGAGTGTGTGCAAACACATGTGCATATTCAAATATATGCAAAGAAGGTATATAAATATGAGTACTCATGTCGTTCTACATGCACCGTCTCATTTCTTTTTTGGTGTCGGCTTTGAATCAGCTTTGGTTCCAGAGAGGCCATTTTCTGTGTTGTCGATCCCTGACGAAGTAACAAGGCACTCCTTACTGCGGTGGGGTTGGAGAAGGTAGAAAAAGAAGGGGAAAAAAGGATGCAGCGTTAGAACTGTAAATACACACATGTCATACTTTCACCTTTAAAAAAACACATCAGCATGTACACTGTCTGAACTCAGAGGCTGCCAAGAATCAACAATGTAAAGTGATGAAACAGGATGAAACAGTTGAGCTAAATAAATATCTGGGCGGTTGTGAAAACTCACTTTTTCTCCTCAAGCTTGGCAAGAACAAAGAGAGTGAAGTTCTTGAGCAACATGAATCCCATGAGCAGAGCAATGGCTCCACCAACAGCTGAGGCGATCATGATGGTCAGCGTGTTGTCCACCACCCTCACTGCAGACAGCAGCAAAACACAACTTTAATGGACAGAAACACAAACATATAAAGACTTGAAGGAGAGCTTTTATGCATGACAATGTTGAACAGCAGCTAAGGCCTGACTGCCTTCTGTGTGTCTGTGCAGTCTTTCACTGTCACCTTTGGACTTGTTTTTCTAGTGCAGGGCTTTTTTCCTTTTTTTTTCCTCAAGTGACTGTCCTCATATATTTGGCCTGATTTATTTTATCCTCAACATATAAATAAATGCATGTTCTGGTTTATTTTTTTACTTCAATATGCATATTACGGAGGATCCAGCAAGCCCTAATGACTTGTCCTATATTTATGATTGGCCAACATACAGTATGTCAGGGCATATAGTTGAACTGGTTATATATATATACAGGGGGGTATTGTTGGATTGGACAGTTTTCTACAATATATATGGAGCAGCTTAATGAAAAATGGGCTGCTTCAGAATCACTGGGCAAGAAAAAAAAAATCAACAAATAAGAACACCTTCTCACCAAAAGAACCCATTTCTTTTGTATAATCAAAGGAAAATAAAACATCAGTTGACATTTCGAGGCCTCGACCACTCACACTCGTCCACCACGATGAGGTGGAAGATGGCGCTGTGGTTCTTGAACTTCTCTTTGGGATTGCGTCCGAAACAAGTGTACTTGCCCCCGTCCTCGAAGGTGATGTTCCACAGCAAGATGGAAATGTTGTTTTGATGGTTCTTTCCCACAAACTCCACCCGCTCTCTGTATATATCCACGTGAGGCTCCACGCCTTCTGATGGTATCACTGACTCACACACCTGATAGGACCAGCAAACTGTCAATCATCCAGCAATTACCAAGTTGTTGAAGCCTGAAAATAAATCTTTGATTGAAATAGAAGGTTTTTACCTTCTGCATGGTGCCGTTGTCATTGAACTGCCAGTTAAAGTAAAGGTCTTTGATGCCAATGCAGCTGGAGTATGTGCAAGGCAGGATGACTGTGCTGCCATTCACTGCCTCCAGGGTGGGAATCTTCCCCACAGACATCTCAAGGGCCTGAGCAGACCACAGGCCTGAAGGGGGCAGAGGAACAGAAAACACAGCAAGACAAGACACATGAGAGTCAAAGTTATTGTTTCACATCCTGGAGTATTTGCTTCTTTGCTTTCTTGCAAAGACATTAGATGAAGCAATTTAAACCACTCTCGTGCCTGTATGTTAAATATTCAGCTACAGCCAGCAGCTGGTTGGTGTAGCTCAACACAAAGACAGAACGCTGATCTCATTCTCACTCTACTTCCAGCCTACTCGTCTCCTCTGTCCTTCTACCCAGATGTGCATCTCAGAGCGCTTAGAAGGATGTTTCAATTCCTAAGATGCATTGCGAGAGAAGAGATTTGCCAAAAAAAGTTTGAGTTACAATGCACAGATGAATCCCCCATGTGTCCCCTCATGGAAGTCTTTTTGGCACTTTGGACATATAAAAAAAAAAAAAAAAAAGGCTTGCCACAGATCTGACATTTAGAAACCATGTCTACAGCAGGACTGACAAAGGTGAAAAATTATGTGTAATTTCACAGCACATAAAAATGTTTGACATTCTTGTCACATAATGCCATGTTGTGAATTGGATTACAAGTTCATTTATACTGTAAGTTATCATGAACACTATTCTGCTCACCTGACGGAGCTCATAATACAGGTTATAACAAAACATTGGACAGATGTTACAGCTGTGCCACGTGTTGTGTCTCATTGACGTAGCTTTAAAGTGACGACACATTTTGTGAAACGCCTGTTGCCTCGACTGCTCTCTCCTCGTGTCTCTTCGTTGCTTCCTCTTCACCTCCTCCAGTCACATCTCTGGAGGGAGGGACTACGATGCAAGGAGAGGAGTCAAGGAAAGGAATCGAGGATGCACAAACAATAATGATAAGGGAGGAGGAAATTAGGAAGCAGCTAACTTGGCTTATTTTTACATCAGGTTTTTTTTTTTTTCTTCTTTTTTTTAATCCCAGCCACCACCCCGTCAAATGGGAACTTTTTCAGCTCCAGCACCAGCCAAGTTGTCATTATCAGTCACAACAAGAAAGCAAATGTTGGTCCATTTGTTTAGGGGAAGTATACAGGAGGAAGTATTCAGACAAAATATCCTAATTTCAGGAACACTGAATGCATTTTATTCCAGTTCATGCTTGAAACAAATAGCTCTCATATCATGGCAGAATAGATTTGGTAACCTAAACCTTTCATTGTAGTGTTGGGAAAATAACAATTATATACTGATCGCTTATATCCCTGATATACCAAAACCTTCATAACATCTGCATTTTACAGCTTCAGATTTACTGGACTTCATGCACTGGGGTGTCGTCTGCTCATTGGTTGTATGTTGACTTTAAAAACAGCCTGTATCTCATTGACAGGGGCAGTTAATCTAACTAATACACATAAAAACAATGAAACACAAGCCTTAAACCTTTTTCCAGCATGGCATGTGATGCACAGGAGGTTCGATTCTATACTATCAGTAGCTACAGTCACAAAATGTGCTTGATTAATCCAATGAAGTCGCCTTATTATTCACAACACAGTCATTACTTATTAATACAGTCTGCAATAGGTCAATTTACTGGGCATACGTGATCAATTGTTTAATCTATCAACCATTTAAGTAATTCTTTCAGGAAAACGTTACACAATAATGTCTATTATTGACATCTAACAAGTCAAACCCACAGCAACACGACACCACAACGCCCTTGCTGTGACATTACTGTAAATAAGACGGGATGAAATCTGCTTGTGAAAACTGTAACTGTACACCAGGGACCACCAGCGTCACACAGCATCAGGCAGCCAATACATTTCACCAATCCCCCCCTCCCAAAAAAAATAAATAGAGGAAATCTGGCTTTGTTTACGTTACAGCTTCCTTTGACCTCATTATTTCTAAACTTAGCAGGTATTCCACCAGGCAGTTTAGCACTCAGGTTTGCTCCTATGTGCCAAGGTTACAGATCACAAACAGCTACAGTATATAATTTCAGCAGGTCAAGGACAGACAGCAGGTCTGCTCTCTCCCTCTTTTATACCATTAAAGTGCTTAATGCTTCCATCTAGGATGCAGGGTGTAAACTACACGCTGACAAGGTGCTGTGCAGAACAAAGAGGTTATATAGAGAAAAACCGTTACACGAATAAAGCCTTGAATATGATCAATGGTTGCAGGAGCAGCTTTTAACGTATTCTGCGCTGCCTTCCTGCCACTCTGCCCTCTGTTTTCTGCACACTGTGTTGTGCCTTTTTCATAACACGGTCAAGGTCAATGTCTGACAGGCACCGTTGCAACAAATAGGAATAACATTGCTGAGGCCAGCAGAGACAGTTAAACACAGTGCAGGAGGGCGTAGTGCAAGTGGGAATGTTATTGATTCGTTCTCTTCTCACTCTTCTTGCTATCTCGAAAACTCACTCTCCCCAATCTTTTCCTCAGCTGCTCCAATGCAGCACAGTGAGCTTGCAAAAACAGTCAGTGAGAGGAGAGCAGCGGCATCGCTCTGCTGTCTCCTTCATGCACTTTTTTTTTTGTCACTCTGGTTTCTTTATATTCCATTTTCTTCCTTTTCGTCCTCTCAGTGTGTCCTTTAATCATGTATTGTCTATTAAAGCAGACTTTTTCTATCACTGTAAGTACCGAAGCTGCTGACAAGACAAAGAGAAATACAATAACGTTCTATCTGTTCTTTTCTTTAGGAACCTTAATCTTTGTGTTTTGTCTTCAACACATTCAAACACAGCATAGGTAGTCTCTGTGAAACCAGTAGCCCACTCTGCATTGCATCTTTTTTTTTATTTGTTATCTAGGTGTTCATAAAAACTTGCTTTGTGACTTTTGGTGCTTTAGATAAAAGTAGAACAGTGGTGCTCCAGTTTTTAGCCTACATATGTCAACTTCACAACAGTAGTTTTCCACACATGTATGTAACACAGCATCTCTTGAAAATTGCATTAAAATTACACAAAATATCAACTGTTATGAAAGTTAACAGGGGACAAGAGTAGATGTAATTCTTTCGAGGTCAAAAATATGAGAGGAGACATATACATATGCATAAAAACGATATAATCTGAATGTCCACTGTTTGACTTTGAACATTCAGCTTCTTTTGGCAGAGAGCGACATAAGATCATCACTGCACTCTTCTGAGTCATAATTGCGTAATTCACAAATGGAAAACCTCCTTTAGCGCTCATAGCTGCTGTCTCGCTCTTTTCTATATCTTTAACACTGTTCTGTATCATCTGATGCTGATTTACAGCAGTACGTGTTTACACAGAATCGTTTGACAGGCAACATTTGACTTTTTTACCACCTCCTAGTGCAATATAGTAGAAAACAAATATCTTCATTCCCCCTCAGAACATAATGCTGATGCTTAGCTGCTTTTCAAATGCGCTATCATATTTCTCTCTGGAACTTGGCCACCTGCATCTGCTGATTAGCTCTGCTGTGCAGTTTTTGTTATAATATTTCTTGTTCGTTCTAAATAAAGATAACACCTGCAAAAAACAACAGCTCTGAAAAATGAAATAATAAAATAACCTGGTACCACAAAGTCCTGACAAGTCAGCTCATCTTTTTAAATGCATTACAATATGAAGATCAGAATTTTGTATTAGAGAAATAAATATTTGACATTGTGAATGATTGATTTACTTCTGGACTAAATTGGAATGGAAATATTTTTAAAGTCTGCAGCTCTTGTTACAGATTGAAGTTTTTCATGCATGTTTACTGCACTGTTGCTGCAGTGACGCAAAATACAGAAGTAGGTTCAGAAGATTCTTGTAACTGTAGAGTGATGGATGTAGAAAGGATGTGGGTAAAAGATATAACACCGGACAATACAAATATACAAATATATCAAGTGTCAGCAGCGACTGAAACTGGACACCTCTGACTGTACATCCACAACATGATCTAACTATTGCTCATCACTGATGCCAGTCTTAGATCCGCATGTGAATTTATCTGCAACAACAACATTCCTTCATCTCTGCTTCTGTACAATCACCACCCAGTACCCTCAATATCTTAATTGAGAGGTTTATGAAATAAATAAACACAACTATATAAGTTAAGTGGACCTTCCACCCAGTGATTCTTGCTGCAACGTACACATCTGGACCAGCACAATACGCCCTGAATGGCTGGGCCCAGTGTGCCTGACGCAGCTTTTTCATCACAGTGCTGCTTTCTTCTGCTGACATTTCCTTTGGTTGACATATTATCTATACTATTATGGATCAGTGACAACACCAAACTATTTGACTGCAACATGCATAACTCCACGATGCCACACTGACAGACTTCTGTCAAAAACCAGCAGTGCATTTTGCTCATGAAATGAAATGCAACATCTTTTTAAAAAAAAAAAAACAATAATAATAATAATGACAGTATTCCTTCCCAACCAACAAAATCTCAAAGCAAAGACCTGGAGTTAAGGCACACGCAGTGATCGCATCTGAACACAGGTCAGATATGAAGGTCACGTCAGATCTGGAGAAGCCACGATATCACTGCTCTGCTTAACAACACAAAGGATGTTGAGAGGGGAAAAAAACATGAAGTTTTCCAAAAGGAGAGATGAGGAGGCACTGGGTGCGTCAGCTGTGCCGTGATGATCACACCAAAAAAAAGTGTGGTGACGTAAAATGCAAGCTAGACATTACCAAGCAGCAGAGAGAAGATCAGGCCGACGGTTGAGGATGGTGGGCCCAGCCTCTGGGATTTAACCCCAATCCACCGGACCTCCATGGCCGCCAGATCTGCTCCAAAACAAATGGTGCTGCAGGATCCAGGCCTGGCTCTGGTAGCTAGTAGGATATCCTTTGCCACCACTCTGGATTGAATCTGTAAGCTGCTGTCTGAGTGACTGGACCCCAAACAAGGCACATCCCAGTGTTGCAGCTACAGCTGCTGCTGTGGGGTAGCGAGCCTGCCTCACAGCCCTGATGCACTCCTATGGAAGAGACTGTAGGTTAGACAAAGGGCAAAGGAGGAGGATGAGAAACAGAGATAAAGGAGAAAGGAAAAGGTTAGTCAACTGGGCTACAAAAGTACAAACTGTGCAATACAAAGTACAGCCATGTACAGCGTGCATTTCCATGTTTCCTGCATGCATGTGTCTGCACCTACTGTAACTCTACGCCTTACTGCAAATAGGACACATCTCAGTGAAAGGAAACAGGATTGTACAGTAAGTACAGTTCAAGTTTTGTCCCACCTACCTGCTCCTGCAGCCGGTGCTCAGTCAGGGGCCTGCCGGCTGCCTGCTCAGCTGAGTCAGTGTGGACAGGACAGAGGCAGAGCGGCAAACGCTCACTGCGCACAGTCAGGGTTCACTCAAGGAGACTCTGCCAGCCAGCACTTTCACTGCAGAGACAGCCACATTGCAGTGCAGGATGAGAGACAATTAGAGAGGAGAGAGGGGGGAGACAAGCAGAAGGACAGACAGAGACATAGAGACAGGAGGAAGCCGGTGCTCTCCTTCCTCCTCAGCAGAGCCACGGTGAAGCTGAATCTTCTCCCTGCTCGTCCCTCCAGTGATCTCACAACTTTTCCCTGTCCTCTCTGTTGGCTTCATGCCACCTCTCTCTCTCTCTCTCTCTCTCTCTCTCTCTCTCCCCCCTCATCTCTCTGCTACCCCTCCCTCACCTGCCCCTATATCCCTCTTATTCTCTTTCTCTCCTCCAACACCCCCAGTCGCTCCTCCTCCTCCTCCTCCTCCTCCTCTCTGCTGCTCCCTCCCTCCCTCCTCTCCTTCCTCCCCACCTGCCTCCCCCCTTCTCCCCCTCTCCTGACTTGGGGCGTGTATGCAGACTCAGGCACTTTTGTCAGAGTGTTTGTGAAGATCAGAGAAAAGTTCTGCAGTGCAGGTTGAGGAGGAGGAGGTTTGTGTAATGCAGCCAGAGGGCCGCGGCCAGACAGTCCCATATCGAAGTGCTTCATTCATAAATGGATTTCACTGATAACGTCACCTCTCTCAGCATCAGAGAGTTATGGTGGAAAGAAAACAGCACTGTAGTTTTTTTTTTTTTTTTAATCGCAGTGAGGTTTTGAAAGCCGTTCCCTTATTTTATTCATTATTTCTGACAGGGTTAAATTTTCTGTGACTCTTTCCTTTCTCCTGCGGCGACTCATGTTCCCCTGACTCAGGATATTCAAGCTTCCAGCTATGCGTAATATGTGTTAAATGCCCCTTTTGAGCCCTGGAAGGTCAAACTGTCTTATATATCACGAGGCATTCGATGCTCGCTTTTGATCAGTGTGATGCAGCTGCAGGAGCATTATGATATGAGACGGCGCGTGCAGTCATTTTTTACAGCAAGACAGCTCCTTTCCCATAAATGTACAAACCACCAGTCAACAGCTGAGCTATGTCCTGCGTCTGCACTACTCACTGCAGGCATGATGGAGAAAAAGTGCTTAGCTCAGAGTTTTCAGATTTGATTAGTCAATTTCAGTCCTGACCAACGCTGGATTCAAACACTTAGGGCTGTATGCCTTTCAAATTGCATCCGTTACTGTAAACAGCAGGCGACTGAAAAGGTTTGGTAAAAGGTTAAATAGAGTTGCATGTGGGGCGAAGAAAAAATAAAGAGAGAACTGTGAGTTCTAAGAAGGATGCAGCCGAGAGCACGTGACAGAGCTTGTCATCTGAGTCGAGGTACAGTGACACAGACAGAGGACACAAGGACGTCTATGCATCCATTTTGGACTTGCTCCTACCTGGGACTACCTCCTGCTTGTTTTTCTCTGCTAATACAACTGGTTTGTTTTGTGAACAGGAAGGGAAATGGAAAAGTTTGCAACTCGGAATGGCTGTAACTGAAATATGCAAACTAAACGTCTGCTATGAAGACAGATGCAGGTATTCATATGTACCCATGCTTTACTTTACTTACTTTGCAAGTACTGGACACTGTGACTGGTCATTGAACAGATTATTATGAGCATACTGAGAATGACTGGATGACTTTTTTTCTTTTTCTCTTTGTAAGTTTATTTAATCTTTAAATATCTTTGTGTTTTAAGTGTAGTTTGTGTCAGCTTTAACTCTTGAATTATGATTGTTTTTGCTACATAGTCTACGCTGTTGAGAAGAATCGGCACCATTCTGACACCAGTGACTAAGCAAAACTAAGGAAGCACAACATCAATATCTAGATTGAAATCTAATACCATTCACAGGATGTTGAGTGGACAAAGCGAGTTCACCACCCGCAGGGCCTGAGAAGAGTAGCCACCGGATTACGATGTTGCACCAACAATGCCCAGCTGACCTGGGCCACTTATCTTCTTCAGCACTCCATGCTAAACACATACAAGTAAATGTTTTGTGGCGCCAGATGCTAGGAGGTACAGTGGACGGTGGTTCTGTGGGGGTGGAGCTCCCATGAAGTGAGAGATAGTGTGGCCAGTCTGCGGGCTCACCGCTCTCCTCTCCAGGCCCCTCCACTGGAGTATCAATGCAGCAGCGGTGGGAACTCTTCCAGAACTGCAATAAGAAAAAAAAAAAAAAAAACAACGGCATTTTGCTGCAGAAAGACAGGGTGCTACTGCAGACCTGTGCAGGACAGCACACAGGGAGGGTGTCCAGTCACACAGACAGAATCACATGGTATCTACTGTACAGTATTAATGATTGCGTGTCCCATATTATTATTCACAGAGGCCATGTAGGTGCAGGCTGGGCTTTTAAAAGCATGTAGGTGTCATCTGGGCTTACTGCAGCAAAATGTGTGCTGCACCCAACGAGAGACAAGGACGCATGTCTCAGCTCTTACTGTAGTGGCTTAAAGCAATACAAGTACCCGTACAACACTGTGAAAATATTCCCATACAAGCAAAAGCCTTACTTAAACACAGACATACAGCGCAGGAAAAAAGCAAAGCAGCTTTACTTATATGACACAGTTTAAACACAGACAGAGCTCTACACAGGCAAAGAAGAGTATAAAAATAGCATCAAAAAACAAGAAGCAACACAATTTAAAAAGTACCAAAAGCATAAAAAGAACTACTCTTATGTGACTTACACTGAATAGTCACAACATTAAAACCAAAGACAGGTGAAGTGACAGATCGTCTTGTTACAATGCAATGTTCTGCTGGGAGACAGTGGGTTCAGGCATTCATGTGGATGTTGACATGTACCACCCACCTAAACAGGGATGCAGACCAAACACACACACCTCCGCAGCAGCAGCAGCAGCAGCAGCAGCACGGCCTCCAAACCCCCCAGATCCCCAGTCGAGCATCTGTGAGATAAACTGCAATAAGCCTGATCCATAAAGCCCACCCACAGGACCCAAAGGATCCTGGTGTCTGACACCACAGAACAACCCCAGAGGTGCTGTTTTCTTAGCCTCACGGGTCAGAACTGTTTTGGTGGCATAAGAGGGACCTGCAGAATGAGGCAGGTGGTTTTAATGTTGTGACTGATCACTGTACATCTTTTATATATGGCATTACTGGATTTATACACGAATGCACCAGTACCCAAGTAGCCTTTTACAGTAACTACTGTAATTCATATGCAGCCAGGTCTTTAGCCATTTACTTCAGTGGTTTCTGATTCAGAAATAAAGTCATAAGTTAAAGAAAGCAAAGCAGGGCAGACTAAATACATTTCTGAGCACAAATTTGTTTTCATTTTCTCTTAATTTTTCTTCAATCTATATATAAATTTATAGAGACTAACAACAGACTATGAAATGTGAGTATGACATAATAAAGCAATGATGTGACGGAGTTCTTGTGTTAAGATTTGAAATAGAACAGAGAATTAATACCTGGATCTGCAGCTCCCCTCTGCTCTATGGAGCAGATCAGTTAATGCAGGTTTAAATGAAATCTTCTGAGCAGTTCAGAGGGGAAGTGCCTCTTTGGTGGAGGGCGCAGAGCGAGACACAGTTTCTGTCAGGGGTCACAAGCTTACAATAATAATATTTCTCTTGAGAGAAAAGTGGCAAATTCACTCCCATTGCATTTCACTGTGCGCGCATGCAGGGCATAGAATACAGAGCACTACAGAAACACAAAGGGAACATCACTGAGCAAGTACTGCAACTGACTATAAACAAAAACATTAAAATAGTTTATATATTTGCAAAGTTTATCAGACTGATGCTTACAAACCATGTGAAGCGGTCTATAAGTGACCTGATGTCATGTTCCTTGAAAATCTAAATTTGAACAGCACTCAACTAAATCATACAAAGAATGAACTGAACCTGTTCAACAGGGTTTCTTTTCATTACCAAAACAAGCATAATATAGAATGTACACTGAGCAAAAGTAATAATCAAGGAAAAACTTGTGGTTCATGACAAACCTGTGTAGTTTCAGATAAGTTCCTACATGTCCCAGATTAGTGTCTCTTCATTCTGCCTCAGTCACTATTGTGTTAAACAGCACAATTGAGTTTTGTTTGTCTTTCCTTAAGAGGAAGGATATGAAACCATGTTTTGTGTTTAATTCCACCTAAGGAACATGATAAAGGAGGGTGTATGATACCACCAGGGAGTGATGCATCCTACACGCCTCTTATGAAGTTATGCTCACCGTACCGGAAAGAAACTCTCAGATTTTCCAGACCTGAAATGTGAGTAGTGTACCAGTACAGTCTGTGGTATTCCAAGACTGTTTAGGCCCAGTGAGACTATTTCAACTTCTTTCTAGTAACTATATAACTTGTTTCAAGGCACAGGCGTCATCCAATATCAACAAAGTGAGTTACTAAGATGGAGAATTGCATAGACTTTGAGGTCTGCTGGGCTGTTTTGGGGTGTGACTGTAGTCGGCTGGCTAGTAATCCATTCTCATGTGTGACACACACATAGGAGTGGCTGATAGTTGGTATGCCACACACCCCCACCCAATGTGCTCACACTCCCAGAACATTTCTATCTCAATATAATTCAGAAAGCTTTGTAATTTCAAAAAGAAGCTCTTTATTCCAAAGTTTCTAAAAAACATACAAATGACAACATTTCAGGACTTGATCAAAGAAAGCGTAAAGTTCTGCTTATATTACACTATATACAAAGTCGTAATAGAAAATCACTTGTGCAATGTTGTCAATGTAGTAAACATTTTGCTTTGTTTCTTACTCATAAGTCTCACAATGAACATTCTGGAAGCATAAAATAAAAGACAGCACCGACTCTCCTGTTTTCATTTCCAGCGGCATCCAAAAACATCCATAAAGATGCATTATAAGACAAACTGAAAGTCATGTTTTATTAAAACTTTTGCTCTGTCAGTTTTCAGATGCTGTTGCTTTTAGAAAGTGAACAGGGGGAATGTTTGCTGTGGCAGCAGCACAGACAGGTAAACATTATCTGCACCGGTATGGAGTGGTGTTGGTAATGAGCCAAAATAAACTGGATCTGCTCTTCAAAAATCCATAGTCCATTATTCAGCATGAAAATTCATGAATTTTCAGAACGCTGACGTAGGGCAATAAATTACTGCCGTCTGAGTGGAAATCCAGTGAAATTAGCACAAATAACTCAGCAACACGGCGATCAGTGCAACACACGCAGCCATAAATACAGACATTAAAGGGGAACTCCACCAATTTTACATATGAAAGGTGTTGGGGAGTACCACTCGCACACATGAGGAAAAAACATTGTAAAAGAGTTTTATTGCTTCAGGAGGAGTGGTGTGAAGTCTAGTAATTGCCTCATGTGGAGCCACTTGAGTTCGCTGGTGTTGAAGACTGCACCGTTTTTATGTTTGAAACAAAAATCAGGTGGTGTGGACCTTCGTAGTTGAACCTACTATCACTGACAGAAGCTAAAAGCTTGACACTAAAAAAGTCGGTATCTCTGGCTCTGCGCTATCAGTTTTGATGCTTTTTTGTAGTTATCCATTCTGAGTCAACAATATAGGAGCACGATGCTAACTTGGCGAAGACATTCAACATTTACAGTGATGTAAGTTGTAATTCAGTGACCAAGATGCAATAAAATCTGAAAAAGTACATTAAATCACATGTTGTTCGAACATTTAGGATGTTAATGAATGACAAAAAGACAATTCTGTTCAAACGAGTGTGTCTATCTAATCGTCATCATCATCACCACCATCGTCGTCGTCATCATCATCATCGTCGTCATCGTCACCATCGAGGCCTTCCTCCTCCTCGTCATCTCCGCTGCTGGGCTCAGACTCTTCATCGTCTGAACTATCAACTTCTTTCTCCTTCTCCACAATTTTCAGATGAACTGCCTCTTCAGGTAAACTGACGCAAACCCGGCCAAACAAATTCAGTCACACACACACAAACACAAACAGTGAGACGGGCTATTCGTGGATATTTGAGCGCGTGAAAAGTGCAGCAAATATTCAAAAGGCACTGGTTTATCTCGGCAAACATCCAATTCCAAAATAATAGAAAGGGAGATACCCAGAATCCTCAGTTTGAAAACATCCCCGCCCAGAGGATCAATGCACTCCTTCTGTCCTTGGACAAAAATGACCAAAACATCAGTTCAACATTTCTCCACTTAAACAAGTTCACTGTCCTCTGGGTTTTGGATTTGCAAAACTCTTCACCTGTATTCACAAGTCAGAGTGGCACTGTGAAGCAACAGTTGTTATTGTAGCCGCTGAACACAGAGAAAAGGGAAGATTATGCCCAGAAAAATCTGTTTTATCTGACAGAGCTTAAAAAAACGTAACCCCTCAGTACCAAGAAATAGAGGACATAGCTCAATTCACCGCAGCAGTATCATGTTAGAAAAAGTATTGTGCCTTTCAGGGATACAGTTGTGCTCGACATATTACAAGTGTTCCATGCTCATGATTCATTCAAAGCTTAAGTCTTTAAAAGCCATTAAAAAACTAATGATTTGGTAAAAAGCACACAAAAACACGTGTAACTAGTCACTGGTCGTGTGATGAAAGAGCACATCAGTGTAGAGAAATGTAAAACTGCCTCACTGCTGTGAATTGAGGTTGAAGAACTACACTTAGAAAAGTCCCTCCATATTTACATCTCCTACTCTACAGGTTAAAAATATATTTGTTAATATTTAAAAATATATATAAAGTTAATTCTGTAGTTGCAATCACTGGCAACTTTTGGTAAAAACATAGAAAAGTGATTTAGCATTACAACTCATTGGGAAGGTGGTTCATTCTAATACTGAAGTAACCGAAATAAACTACCAAAATATGTCAGAGGTTCACAGTGGAGGAGCAAACATGGAAGAAGAAGATGCCTTTCATTTGTCTCTTCCAGGAGAATGGACCCAGACAGCCAGTAAGACTCCACACCAGTCCCAAGAGGAAGAGAAGCACAGCAGCTCCGGTTCTCTGGCCCTCACCACACAGTTGGGTCCTTCCATTCCTGCTCCCGTGGGTGCAGCTCAATATCGTTCCCCATGCGGTTTTTCTTGCAGTGTCTCACCGCCACGAAGATACCAAGGATGACCATGATTATCCCACAGGCGCCTCCCACAGCGGCTGCCAGGACGCCGATCTCAGAGATGGACGCTAGAAGCCACAAAGCAGAGAACCGAGTGGAGATAACAGAATGCCCCAGTGGTTAAACACGCCGTCCTTCTACTTCATGACATATGCATTACACCTGATAAAGTCAGGCGCAAAACAATGAATCATATTCTCCTGCAAGGATGTTTCTGACCTGTCTGTGGAGAGTTCTATGGTAACAAAGCCTCATGTTTCTACCAGGATTAATTTAATATCCTTTTAAAATGTATAGTGCAAACACTAATGGTAATGACTGAACATTTTCTTTCACTGTAGTACATCTGACACTGACTGTAACGACTGATTCTTCATCTTTCCAAAATTTAGTGAGTTCACAAGTATGCAGTGGTGTCAGTCTGACCTTTGTCGACAACTCTGAGGCTGATCTCTCCACTGTTGCCGTGCACGTCCGGACGATTGCGCACCTGGCAGACGTAGGTGCCGTTAAAGGTCGGAGGCACCTCTTGCAACGTGATGGAAGCATCACGTCTCATAATATCTCCCGACCAAACTGCATGGCCTTTAAAACGTCCCTCCTGGGGAGGGAACGGTCCCTCGTGGTAGTAAAACACCTGATACATACACACAATAGAAAAAATGCAAAGAGTGCAGAAACACAAACAAATTAGCATAATGGAGATGTGCTTATTCAAAACTTTGAAAAACAATGTGATTTTTTTGCATATTGTTCAGCCTTAATGGTCACAGTAAGATTTGCACCCCGATACCCAGAAAAAAAAAGAAATATCTGTAAGACTCCAACAATTTCCAAACCACTTCACTCATTCAAAACAAGTAACCAAAGCTGTTACATGTGTAACTATTCGATGCAGGATATGTAAGTCTGTTTGAAATCTGTATTAACTTATCAGTTTCTTGACAGTTGTATCTCGGCAGTAAGGTGTGTCTGTGCAACATTTGTCAACTATCAGTTTGGGCGATGTAAAAAGCTGCATTAACCAGTTTTTTTTGTGACATGGCCTCTTAACTTCTTGTGGTTGATTGCGACTGACTACAGCTGCTGACTCCTCTGACTCAATTTAAATAAAGCCCATTTCATACCCTCGTCACACTCTTTCACAAACACTACAGTGGTTAAGTGTGACGCGCCCAGTAATGGTCTAAGAAAGCAAATCATTGACTTAAACAAGTCACGACAGTCACTTGGAATCACGTCAAAGTAGCCAAAGAATCCAAAAATCAACCCTGCAAATAACTGTAAGTGTAAAGTGATTGGTACAATTGTGTCACTGCCACAATCATAAAGGACACACAAACTCTCAACTGCTGCTAAGAGATAATTGGTCAGGATGGTCAAGAGTCAACCAAGATTTACCAAAAAGCAGGTCTGTAGTGAATTAGAAGCTGCTGGAACACAAGTGTCAGTGTCCACGGTCAAATGTGTTTTACATTGCCATGGGCTGAGAGGCGTATCCTCTAGAAGCAGATCCTCTAGAAGTGGATCCTCTAGAAGTTGATCCTCTAGAAGCGGATCCTCTAGAAGGGGTATTTTGAAGCTTGACTGAATTTTGTTGCTGATCACATGGACAACGACTTTCACAAGGAAAGTGCTGTGATCAGATGAAGCACAAATTGAGCTATTTGGCCACAATGACCAGAAATACATTTGAGGAGAGAAGGTGAGGCCTTTAACCCCAAGAACACCAAACCAACCATCAAGCATGGTGGTAGTATTATGCTATGGGGGCTATTTTAGTGCCAGTGGAAATGACGAAGGACAATTAGCTCCGCATTCTTCAGGAAAACCTAAAATCATCAGCTAGAAGGTTGGATCTTGAATACAGTTGGGTGTTCAAGCAAGTCTGCAAATGCGGCAGCTGTTGTGTTCTCAGACGGGTGTGTGGCCAAAAATTACTCTAAAAATAATAAACTAGGGTGTTCTCATGTCAGAGTTGTCTGAGGTTAAACCGAGTTACATGTATTCTACACGCGGTCTTTTCTACGAGCGGAAAAACAGCGAATGCAGGTGCGTTCTATTTTCATGAGAAGACCTCATTTTTAAGTGCAGTACACCGAAATTATAAAAGTTCTACTTTCCACCTCTGTGGTCCACACAGCAGCTTCCTGTGGTGGTAACAGCGACACTAATACAGCTTCATGATTGTCATGCTCATCAATTAACATTCTCAAAAAGACGGTCGCAAATACAGTCTGGAGCTATTTGAAAAAAAACAAATAAATAAAATCTGGCTCTTCTCTCTTTCTGCTCAGCAAACTTTATTACTTTTTGGTTGAAGTCAGTCACCTCTGTGAGCAGCCTTTTCTCCACTGACAGCATGGACAACGCATTAAGCCGTCATGACAGTAGCTGTCATTTGGTAGAAGAGCGACGGGACGCTGTTAGACATGTGTTTAAAGCACAGTCGTAAGAACGTCAAAGGACAGTTTTGATATCCAACCACAGAAGACAAAAGCAAATAAAGACTAAATTAATGGGCTTACAGCAAAAGTGGACGGGTCCGGGACTCACCGAGCTGCGCCCTGTGAGAAAATCTGCAGCTGCCAATCAGAACCCGGGCCGAGGTCACATGATCACAAAAAGTTTTTCAAGCTACATACACACTCATTTGGCCGGCGCCCCGCATCCAGGAAGTGTAAAACTAGTAAACACGCAGTGAAGACTAATTCTAAATCTGATAATAATAATACAAATAATGTTCATATAGCAAAAAAAAAATGAACGATATTATTAATTTTATTATTATTTTGTTATAATAATTAAAATTTAATACTATGTTTGAGAACTACTTTTTATCTGGTCATTAGTAGTGGGGCGGCGCCCCTGCGCCCTGTATTAACCAGCCGCCACTGTGTAAACCTTTGTTCATAACGGCACATGTCAGCCACTGGCAAAAAGAAAAGAACCAATTGAGAGCTGTAAAAGAAAGACACTGACTAACAGCTAATACAAGTTGGGAATTGGAAAATGAATAAAATACAGTGCCCCAGTCTTAAAGACCAACAAGCGCTGGATTTAATAAATGGCGATGCTAAAACAAGTATATCACATAAAAACAGTTTTTACTCACCGATTCATCAGCTCCTGAATTAAGGGGTCTGAAGTTCCAGGACACTGTGACAGACGAAGGACTTACTGGATGTTTGGAACTGAAGGTGCACTTCAGTTTCACATTCGTCCCATTGACTGCTTCCACCGTACTCGGCGTGGAAATATCTATCCCACTGACATGTCGCAGCCCTGACAAAAGACAATCAAGTCAGAAGGATGAGTCAGCAAAACTGAAGCATACTGACTCATTTACAGACCATAGCTTTGTGGTAGAAACTGCACATTTAACTACAGTTGAAACCAGAAGTTTACATACACTGCATATAAAGACACGACCTTTTTATTCTCACTGTCTGACATTAAATGTGACAAAACTTTTCCTGTTTTGGGTCAGTTAGGATTACCAAAATTCTTTCTACTTGCTAAATGCCAGAATAATGAAAGAGAGAGAGAATTGTGTCAAACACAAGCTTCTCACAATAGTCTGATGAATTCTGGCCCATCCCTCCAGACTGAACTGGTGGAACTGAGTCAGGTTTGTAAGCCGCCTTGCTCCACACGTCTTTTCAGCTCTGCCCACAAATCTTCTCCAGGATTGAGATCAGGGCTTTGTGATGCCCACTCCAAAACATTGACTTTGTTGTCCTGAAGCCTCTTTGTAACTAATCTGGTGGTATGTTTAGGGTCATTGTCCATTAAGAAGACCCATTTGGCCCAAGCTTGAACTTCCTGGCTGATGTCTTGAGATGCTGCTTCAATATTTCCACATAATGTTCTTTCCTCGTGATGCCATCTATGTTGTGAAGTCCACCAGTCCCTCCTGCAGCAAAACACCCCCACAACATGATGCTACCACCCCCATACTTCACAGTTGGGATGGTGTTCTCAGGCTTACAAGCTTCTTCCTTTTTACTCCAGATGTAATGATGGTCATCATGGCCAAACTGCTCAATTTTAATTTCATCAGACCACAGGACATGTCTCCAGAAAGTAAGGTCTTTGTGCCTGTGTGCATTTGCAAACTGTAATCTGGCTTTTTTATGTTGCTTTGGGAGCAATGACTTCTTCCTCTCTGTGTAGCCTTTCAGCCCATGTCGGTACAGGACTGGTTTCACTGTGGATAATGACTCTCTGACCAGTTTAAGCAGCATCTTCACAAGGTCTTTTGCTTTTGTTCTGGGGTCGATACACACATTTCAACCAAAACACTTCATCTCTGGGACACAGAATCCGTCTCCTTCCTGAGCAGTATGATGGCTGGACATTCCCATGGTGTTTATATTTGCGTATAATTGTTTGAACAGATGAACGTGGAACTTTCAGGCACCTGGAAATTGTACTTAAGGATGAACCAGACTTGTGGAGGTCCACAATTCTCTTCCTGATATCTTGGCTGGTTTCTTTAGATTTTCACATATTTGCACAAAAGGAAGCAGTGTGTTTGAGGTGTGGCTTAAAATACATCCACAGGTGTGTCTCCAGTTAACTCAAATGTTGTCAATTAACCTATCAAAAGCTTCCAAAGCCATGACATCATCATCTGGGCTTTCCCAAATAGTTGTAGTAAAGAAAATCCCTACCAAATTCTCTCATTATTCTAAAACAGGAAACGTGTAGTCTGATTTAATGACAGTGAGGGAAAAAAAAGGTTTTCTGTTTTTATACTGATATCTTTTTATACAGTGTATGTAAACCTCTGGTCTCAACTGTATGTTTCTCATTTCTTTAAAGCATCTAAACAAAGCAGAGATCTGCATTGAGCAGCTCTGCAAGGCCATAAAACATATTATTTGCGATAGCTGGTGACTTTCTGCCATTCTGCAGATTAAGTTATCATTGTTTACTTCACACAGAAATGTCCTTGGCAGTAAAGTGCAAAGTGACACGTGCCTTAGATCCCTGGTGTTTATTGGTTCTGGCTATAAACTGTGACTCTGTCACTTTCTTGTGGCTACAAATTTATTCTACAGCCACTGCTTCTTCACATGACTGCATTTTAGTACAACAAGCTGCAAAACTGACCCTCCAACCCCACTTTTCATCCTATAATTCAAACTGAATCAACAAACAGCTTCCCTACAGTTTCCATGGCTTTGCCAGTAAATACTTTGATACACTGCAAAAACATGTATGTTTAGTTTCAGTTCTCTTCAACAATGTCTCCCACACTGGAATCAGCCTGGGAACGTTACAAATGACTACTTCTCCTACAAAGCCTGCCACACATTATCTTTCCACTGTGGCGATATGAGACTGTTTATCACCCACAGCTTTAATGTAACCCGCTATTCAGATATCCACAGGAACACTCCCAAACCGAGAATTATTCAAATGCTTCAACGGCTGCTACACCTACTATGGGTTAATGATTCTCAGTGTGTTTGAGTACAGAAGGTCAGCTATGCACCGCCTCTACAGGTGCCTTAAAAGTACACAGAGTAATAAAATAACTGTAAATAAAAGGTTTACACCTTCGTAGCAATCCAAATATAAACACATTCCATGCTTTATTTGGAATCGCTATTAGTTGTAATTACACAGTCCAGTCTGGCAACTGCTCATCTCCCTAAACTGGTCTGGTGAAGCTACACGGTTAAGCCAAAACTGAATAACACCGCCAGCCAGAGTGATGATCAGACCTGCAGGCTCATCCTGCGGATTAAAACATTCTTTCTAATAAACCACAGAAGAAGAAGCCAAGAATGTTCTGTAATCCTGGACAGAGAAGCATGAAATGAAATGAATGACTGCAGAGAAAAAAATAACTCAATAGCACAAGAGTATTACGGAGAACGTGGTTACCGTCTTTGTACAGAGAACGTGCAGAAATGTGTGCACGTACTTCTTTATTCAAGTGCATGGTAGCTCACAGTTATTGAAATCTGCATCACTTTCCAATTTCTGAGAACTTGTTCAGCTCCACTAACATTATTAGTTTCTCTTATTGATGCCAACACACAGCAAAAACAGCCACTTAGCACCAGGATGCATCAGAGGAAATTCGTTTTTCATGCAGGCTGTGAGCCACGGTACGAGGAACGAGATGGTTGAATGTGATAGAGCATTTTAATGAAACTGGGCAACAAAGGATCAAATCAACAACTGCACCACTTTCATTTCAACCAAAACTGGCAGCAGGCCAAAGTGCAACATTTGTTGGATGACATGCAGTCAAATTATAGGGGCGTGGCGTTTGGGGTTATTTTAGTTGTGGGTGTTGTTATCGTTCCAGTAAAATCCTACAGGAGCCATAGAGGGTGTCTTAGTAGACAACATTTTTCCTCTGATGCAAAAAAAAAAAACGATACGAAACTGAGTATTTACTGGTAATGTTGAGCCTGAATCAGCAGTCAGAGATTCCTGTTTTAATGTTTCATATGTCTACTATCATGTGCCTGTTTTCCTATGCAGTAGACACAGCAATGGCCAGTGCAGTACTGTATTTGCCAAACACTGACTGAGCAAAAAACAGAATAAACCCTATACAATCACGAGGAAGGAATGAACAAAGAATGACATGAATAAGCACAATGAGAAAAGGAAGTGAAATTCATATTTAAACCACATTTTAAGCTGTGTCAGTGCGTACTGCCAACACACTGCAATCACAGACAAGTTTAACATCTCCCACAGTGGAAAGAGCCTGTGAAAATTACAATTACTGGATGCACAAAGCCTGCTACATGTTATCTTTTAACTGCGATCGCACGAGGCTTCCTTATCAGACATGCAGCCTTAAATGCAGCCCTTTATTCAGATATCTACAGGAACACTTTCCCGATAAAGACTGTAAAAGTGAGTGGCGTCAACCTAACTATTAAAAGTCTATAATCGCTGCCACGCATTCATCTGCAGTTCCAACATGTGAGAGCAGCGACTGCAATGTTCCGCCATTCATCTGTAAACATCAGGCATGCCCACCATGCCAGGTGTTTTCAAGTCTGAACAGCTCCTCCGTATTCACAACTGGCTGGCTTGTATCAAAACAACATCATGTAATAGAAAGAATTCATCAAATCCTGTTCGAAGACAACATACTGTATGCTACTGAATGCATGCCTTGCAGCTGGGGGTCAGTTTTGAGATTTCTGTGAACTGTAGGTACAAAAATCCTGCTGAAATTGCACAAAAGGGGAAACTGTAGGGGTTAGACAGTAGGTTCCCCAAAGTCAGAGACACTGGGTTTAAAATGGGGCACTGCACTACAATAACCTAATGCACTGTATTTAGATGTGTTTCTCAACTTGAAATTCGCTGAAGCAAGGAACCGCCACATCTGTTCTCTTTACCAATTCAGCAGATGGACAAAGGCGTCATTTCACAGTTCATCTGGGCAAACAACATGACATAAAGCACTGAATACCAGCCTCCTGAAGCTCACTACGATCAGACTGCAGGTGTAGATTCAACATAGCAGTAATTAACATGGAGATTTACATAGCTTCCAGTGTGTTAAGCTAATCTCCCTTCTTTCTTTTTTGCCAAAATCGTTTGCTACATGACAACTCTATGCAGCGTTTGGGATTAATTCAGCTGCAATTCAAGCTGTTGCCTCACATCATCTTAAGCCTTTAAATGGTGATGATCAAGTCTCCAGCTGACACATGCTGCTCATTGGTATTCACAGGGTGGATCCATTGTTTGAGCAAGTGCCTTCCTAAAAAGTATTTCATTCTTTAACTTTTTTTAAAAAGACAAAACAGAAATATTAGACGTTTTTACCCACAACTGAGAAGGAAATACATGTTACTAAGATGTTTACTCATGAAATGGTAAAATTGCTGAAGCTATTAGACCTCTTATTGACATTGGGGCAATTTCTGTGCTAAATAAATAATTTAATTAACCATTTTATGTCAGATTTTATATTTTAACAGTTCAAAACACATTGTCAGCAATCTTTATAAACACAGAAACATTGCTGACAATGTGTTTGGACACATGGATGCCCAGTTATCATGGATTGTGTAGTTTATTGTGTATTTTGTGCTTTCAAACCAATACTCATGTCAAGAGGACATAAAAACTGCAAGTGCAATGGCATAAAGGTATAGAATGGTTCATGTGTACTTGTCATGACAGGGGTGGAAAGTAGCTAAGTGAATGTACCAAAGTATTCGACTCAAGTGCAATTTGAAGGTACTTGCACTTGAGTATTTATAATATTGTACTCTGTATTTTCTTACACCTATCTGACATTTACTTACTTTTACTTACTTACTTTTAAGATGACGATTGTACATTATGAATCATATATATTGTATATTTTTAAAGATTAAACCAGCGGTTTCCAATCATTGTTTCTTCTGAAATCTTACAAAACGCAGGTGTGTAGTCAAGGTCACATTTCAGATGATCTTGGTAACAACTCCACCAAAAAGTCAAAAATTCCTCTACACTTCTCGCGGGGTTGCACTTACGGAATCATTTAAATGATCCAATATCTCACCAAACACATTTATGTATCACAAAGGAAAGACAACTTCGCCTTCTTTCCTCTCCCATGAATCATCTGATGACCCCTCAGATGTATCTGAAGCCTCTATATACGAAAGTGTAGATAAAGTAGTTCAAACTGGCTCCACCTGCAGCAGCTACAACAGTAATCTGCTGCTGACACACTGATGCCTCACTAAAAATAATCTCATGATGACTAATATAATTATATGTAAGTCAGAGGGATCAGATCAGAACTTTGAATACTTGAACTACATTTTTCTTCTCTACTTTTACCTACATAGGATTGTTTTATAGTCATAAGAGTAATTTTACATTACTGCATAGGTATTTTTTTACTTAAATAAAGGAACTGCATACCTCTTCCACCACTCTATAATGTTACAACAATCCAATATAGGAAAATAACCCACAATCCTACAACATACTGGCATGCATGGATTGTGCATGTGTACATAGGAGCACTTTACTCTGCATGACTCATGTCTCAGGACTCTGTCGACTACACTACAGCTTCATTTAAACCTGGGCCAGAGACTAAAACAAGCTTCCTACAAACTCTGCAATGCTTCTTGATGTCCTGCAGTGAAAGCTGCTTCAAAACATACCGACCAAAAACACCCCACAGCAACATGAAGGGTCTAGTTCCACAGTTTGGTCGTTATTTATTCTCCTGAGTTAAAGTGCGCTTCATCCAGGAAGTTGTTCAGACTCACCTGGAAGCACGAATCCTCCCAGGAGAAGCACAGCCCATATCCGATACATGGGACTCGACATTGCTTCTGCCTCAACTCCAGCACGGTCAGTTCATCTGCAAAAGTCCCGTCATGCACGGAATTCATAAACGGAAACGTCCCCGCGGTGCGTCGGAGTCCAGAGCCGCGGTGAGAGTCGACTCCTGGCTGGTGGATATGGGAGTGAGTCTCTGTTCACACCTGGTGGGCGGTGTTTAGTCTTCTTGCACAACCTGTTTACCTGGATGACCCACACCAGCACCGTCACTGAGCCGGTTCTGCTGTTAGACTCCAGCATTAAAAAGAAAAAATCTCCCTCCTCGAAAAAGTTTGGGGTTTCATGAGCATGCGCATTCTGGTTCTCGCTGACAGCTCAGGATCAGGTAAAAATATGAAATGACAGTCAGCTGTTGACTGTCTGGTACCATCTGGTGGACACAGTGTCAAATCACAACACGTCAGCTGAGCTCAAAGCTTACATGGAAAACTGTACAAACACAGTCTCAAGGAATTTGTTGTAAAAAAAAAAAAAAGTATTTTGTTTGTTGTTCAGTTCTGCTTCTTCAGTTCATAGTTGTACACTGTACAAAATCATATTTAGTTTAATTCAACTTAAGCTCCCCTTAAAAATGTAAATTAACAGCACTTCAGTTGATTGATAGGTTCAAAGTCACTGAATGTGTTGTCAGAATGTAAAACTAGTCAAATAAACCCAACTTGAGAAAACGAGTTTAATAAAGTCAAGATATTGAGCTGAATCAATGAGTTACCTCCATGATGGATCCCGAGAGACGTGCTTTCTTTTTATATTTTCTTCATTTTACTTTAAGAACGTATAGCCTTAAATATAACCCAGTTTTTGATCAAGGTCGGATGAAAGACAATCTGTGATGCTCCTTGTTGTTGGATAAGTGAGAAGTCTACAGATGTAGGGACTGAATTTAGTTCTAAGCTTAGTCATGGTACGAATTGTTTTGATTATTGTGGAATGAAACAACCATAACTTGATCTAACCTCCATGTCTGTCCTCTTAAACTACAAGAAGCAAGAGCCCCTGGGTTTTTTAAAAAAGTCTTTAACAACACATCCTGGCAGTTCTGCTTATTTGCTTGTTATGTTTCTTATAAACTTGATTAAATTAGTTTAACAAACGTTTATCTGTTCATTCAACTCATCATTTAAAGTTTAAAAAAAAAAACTCATGTTTTTAAATTCTAAAAATAAAGAAAACATAACATTTTATGTTTAAATCACTAGAAATCAGCAAAACTGATGAGTAAACTAGAAAAGATAAGTTGATTTGACAACATTTGTTTGTGAATTTACACAGTGTAGATTCAGCTGAAACTTGTTTGACCCGCAATAAAAATGGCTTTACAATGATTGTGTTTGTTTTCTGCACTGATACACATAATGCAGAAGTAATTGAAAATGAAGGAAGTTTTTGTTAAAGGGAGTTTTTGTTTTAAAACATAAAATATGTTTGATCATCTTGTTTAAAAATCTTAATATTTTTGTCTTTCTCCCTCCTCCGAAAGCCCAAATTTGATAAATATGCAGTAATTTTCATTTACTAGACACAAGACACCTTCCACAGTATCTCAATGAAAAAGAGTTGCCAAAGTTGGATGAAACGTCCAGCAAAAGCAAATGCAGTCAACTGAGATTAAGTAGATCATGTTTTCAGCAAATATAAATGACGAGGTAGGCAAATAAACAAACTGTACTAAAAATTGTGCGTTCAGATTTAGGGCAGCAGGCGATGCTGCAGTGTTTAACTGAGCACAGATGCTCTTCTTGTTTCACTGGACACAGACAGAATGTTCTGTAGAAATCTGCAACAAGAACATGATGATGAATACTGACACAACACAGGCTCAGTGCAGTTTTAAAAGGAGATCACACAGATTTCCATGCCATATTTATTTAGAAACAAAAGTGAACTCATCCATCCGTCAGATTGCAGTTGCAGTTGTAAAACCTGTACAGACTAAAATATTGTGAGGATAAAAATTTATTTCACCAACTGTTATTTTGTCACATAGCTTCATACAAAGTGCAGTAAGTAGAAAAACCTCAAGTTAAATCAATATTAGATCAGTATTTGTCGTTCAAACAGCAACAGTCCTCCTGTAGGTACACTACCTGCACAGAACTTGCCACATCTTCTCTGTGATTTCATGCTAAGTGTCGTCTGTTTCCTCATGTAATCCCAGACTGACTCCATCACGTTGAGCTCAGGGTTCTGTTGATGCCATACCATGTACTGAACAACTTCCTGGTATTGTTAACCCAGAACACAGTTCTTTAGAACTCTGGCTGTATGCTTGGAGTCATTGTTCTGCCTCTCTGTTTGACTTGGCTTTAAACATCTAATGTGCCTTAAAGCGTTTGCACATTACTGTAGATCATCCTTTATAACATAAAGGCCTTGATTCTAGTTCTATTCAATTAATTTTGACCTAATTTTTGAACCTGACCTACTTAATAATTACACTCACACGAGTCACAGTAGTTATGTTATGTTTGTCAGATGGGTCAAAACCTGCGAAGGGAAAGAGAAAGTTCAGAGCGAGCTGTTTTATTATGTGTCCTAGTTCAGGCGTCTCTTCTGATGAGCTGTGGCCTAATAATGTCAACTCCTGATCCAAGGTTGTGTGAATATGAAAGTGTCATATGGGATGAAAAATAGCCTACTTGCAGTTTTGTTGATGACTCTGAGGATGATCTCTCCTTTTCTGCTGTGCACATCTGAAGGGTTTAATACCTGACAGGTGTATGTACCATTAAGGCTCGGTAGCACCTAATTCAGGGTGATGGAAGCGTCCTGGCTCATAATATCTCCCGACCAAACAACATCACCTTTGAAACGCCCTCCGTGGGTCCAGAGGTTTAAAGAAGCAGTTTACAGTTACAGACGCTTCAGTTTCCCATCTGTCCCGTTGGCTGCTTCCACTTCATGTGCAATGAAAAATTTAAATCCCACTGACTTGTCACACTTCTAGAGAAATTAAACACAGTGTCAAAAAAGTCTAATCCACATGTAGGCGGATACACCCAGACCCACACTGACTGATAAACCTCACATTTCAAGCTGTCCATCGATGAGTTTTGAGTTCAGTACAGTTACTTATACCTTCTGATCTACTGCATGCTGTCTCTCAAAAGTGTGATTTTACATCAGCACAAATCAACTTGAGTTTGAAAATGAAGCAATACCATTTTTGTTAATGCAATGCCCTTCTGGTTAATGACTTTATAGATTTCAGACGGTCAAGTGTTTAAGGGAGGTGAAGGGAGGTTGTTCAGACTCACCAGGCACCAAAAATCCTCCCAGCAGAACAAAGAGCACAATCTTCTTATACATGGTTTTAAACTGTCTGCCCGAGATACTAACTGGAAGCAAATATTCAGCAGCTGTGTGCTGCAGACTGACTGCACGTTGGTGCCGAAAATATCTTTGGCAGGTCCTGATGGGCGGAGGAGCAGTAAACCTGTACGGACACTTTTGAACCAGCTACTCTTAAGGGCCTGTCTGCACATGTACAGAAAACTGCTGGGACTGTTTTGATGGAGTAGCAAATGCCCTTATGCACTTAGTGAGGCAATGTGGGACTTATCTTCCGGTATCTGCTTATCTTTATTTTAACTGCACAACAGCAGCAGACAT